TTCCACCATGCCTCTCCCGTTATAAATGACCCCCGAGACTCGGCGGTCCGTCGGTCGTTGGAAATTAAAAGAGTCCGCGACTCTTCTGCAATCTCTCGATTCAGCTCTAATGGATTAATCATCATTTCGTCGCAACTCGTTTCGGTGGATGCAGCGGGGAAGCAATCGGCGAGAGACAACTCCCGCGCCAAAGAAATCGTGCGAAAAAACAACCAGCAGTTGTCGGACGCGTGATGGCACACTATGCCGGAAATCAAGGCGAAGCTGATTGCCCGCCAGACCCCATCAAGATTGTCCTCAGCATCCGCGCATTAATCAGCGTCGTGAACTACAACTACGTCTCCGGTGAGCGGAGAGAGAGAGAGAGAGAGAGGCAGGGAAGGACGGGAACGCGACGTGACACGGCCATGGCGCGAGGTTCACGCGCGGCGCAGAAAAATTCAAGCTCGCCGAGAGAAGATCCTATTCTTGGCTCTCGCGAGTGTCCACCACCATTCACGAGCGGGGGCCTTCGCCCCGTCAATGAACAAGCAACCGGTCCTCCTTCTCTTCCGGGCTCTCTCCTTCGTCGCTTCTCCGTCCCTCGCTCCCGCCCTCCTCCCCCTCTTCTGTCCGTCCGTCCGTCTGTCTGTCGGTCTGTCTGTCTGTCTATTTCTCGCTCCCTTCCGGTTACCGTATTTTTTTCGTCCCTCACTCTCTTTCAATCGCTCTCGTAACAGACAGGAAGAGAAAAAGATAGGAGGGGAGAAAGATAGAGAAAGAGAGAGAGTTTATTAATTTATGACAAGATGGTCGTGCTATACGGTTTCCTCGTCGAGATTTACGTAACTCATCTAGGAGGCGCGAGACGCCAAGGAGAGAAAAAAGGACATGGGCAAACACACACACACACACACACATACACAACATTCGCGGGAGAGAAAGACGTCTCTCGAGGGATCTCTCGCGAGGATCGAACGGTTCTCCCGAGTGACGAGCGCAAAAATCGGGCGTCCCTCTTTCTCCCGCTCTATGAGACGGTCGTGCGATGACGTGGTCAGAATTTTTAGACGTCCAGGGACAAGGCGTGACCTCGAGACGAAGCCTATTTTGACACGCCGTGCGGTAACACCCTGATTACTCGATCGGATGCGAATGGGACGCCCGTCCGGCGGAATATCAGTTCCCGCCAATGAAACGACGGCTTGTCGCTAAAAGGACTCGCGTGATAAAGGATGTAACTAACTGAGACGACAAACACACGAAAGAGAGAGAGAGAGAGAGGAGGAGCATACTCCTGAGATGAATCCAAATTTCAAGGCGGAGAGAAATACCGTCATGCTCCACCGAGAATAATAATTCGGCGGTTCTCGCGATTAACGTGACAAGACAGAGACATCAACGCGAATAAAGGAATTAACGGGCAGATAGACGGATGGCTAATAACGTAACGTCGTTGCGCGCATTGGCAGGGAATAAATAACGCGGCGCAAGAAACAACGGGGAACGCGTTTTACGGTCTGGCAGATATATACGGCGCAAAAAATTATTACATAAAGGCGTTCGACGTAAGAATAAGCGCGACGCGGATTTTACATGAAGCGTAAATTTCGAGAACAATCCGGCGCGCGAGAACAAAAACGGCTGTTGTAAAGCAACGTTAACGTTTACGACGCTTCATCGCCTTGAGTGCATTTTTGCACTGTGTCCTATTGCGCTTAATAAAGTAATGCACAAGCGGTTTTTTGAATTCGGGAGCTATAAATAACGATGACATCCTCCGAAAGATCGACCATTGGGAAGGAATTGCGGAGAAAAACGTAAGTGGAATGAGCGGCGTATGGCCCAACGTGAGGGGAATTCGTTAAAAAGTCGGGGTAGAAATTGACACTGCTTTTAAGGACGACGGAATAATGGATACCCTCGCGTGTCACGTTCGACAAGGTGTCAACATGATTAAACGATCGAATTCCTCGTCAGCGTCGGTCTGATAGGCGTGATTAATGGCTCCGCGCGTGCACTTAACGCGCTTTTCGATATTGCTAGAATTCCGCTGATCAGCGACACCACCATCTGTGACTTTTCACGAAGCTCTCGACGATACGGTGCGCGTTATCGTCATGACAAATTTCGACCGTTCACATCCGATACGTAACTCACACGTTACTCCGTCGATCGCGACATCGGCGATAATTCTTCGCTTTTTTTCCTCCTGTCATGAATCGATTATACGAGGTAAGGTCCTGCTATCTCGAGCTTATCGAATGTAAATTGACGAAAGCGCGGGGAAGATACCGAGTCTCGCATACCTCCGAACAACATTCGTCCGTGGTGAAAAATGTAAGTCGCGGTCAGAGTTCGTATTCCGCGACCCTTGGCGCGCGATAACGCGACGCGCCTCGGCGGGATTTCAAATGGCCACGCGTGCGCGCGATATTGCGCCTCGTCACACACTTTTTCCCGTGTGCGAGGCCTGCCCGCGTCCCCCTCGCAAACCTGAATCGGAGGCCCGTCAGGAAACCGCCGCCGGTGCCCGGCGCGATGGTGGACATCGAGTGGCCTCTCTCGTCTCACCTAAGTCAACAAGCGGGCTCGACGGTATTTTACCGTCGCGGGGTTACGGGTGTAACCGCGCGTGGAACACGCGCGCGCAGGTGCACGCAGGTGAACACCTCTCGCCGAGACGCCGCTGCGGGCACTCGCGCCGCCGCATGTTCCTTCGTGAATTTTCTCCTCAATTTCCCCGCGAATTTCCCCGCGCGCGTTCGAGAAAGCCTCGCAGAAGGCTCGAAACGCGGAAACGCTCGCGAAGCAGCTGCCATTGAGACCTTCGCCGACGGATACACGCGTGGCGCACCACGTAGGGGGAAATCTCCTCGATAACTCGGCCCGCCTCGTCGGACGTTATTAAATGTATGATGATAATAATTGTGGGCGCGCGCATACTCGCATACATATACGCACTAGCACGCACACACATATATACACACATATATGTACCGCCGTGCGAATCATTGCGTTATATCGCGTATAACAGGGATTCGACGCCTCAATAACGCGGCGAACGAAAAGGTCGGCTGAACGCCAGAATCGGGCTGGGAATAAAAGCGCTCACTGAATTGAAAGTAACCACCCGCATTGTGCAAGTTATTATTGGCGGAGCGGCCGATTATATCGCGTTCGAGTGCCGTGCGCGAAGATTGCACGCTTTCGCTCGCGAAAATATAACGGCAATTAATCCGCAAAGTATAGTAATTAAGATTGTTATATCTTTGATAATGCGCAGAAACATTCACACACACACACGCATGGTAGGATAGTCGAGTCAGAGATCGTGAGTGCGCTGTAATAGACGGCGCTGCTTCAAGTAATTCGTGAATTCCATACTAATTGTCGCGCATCGACGAGAAATATGAATCGTCAGGCTTTCTGTCGGGGATATGCGAAAACATGCTCGCAATATGTACCGAGATGTTATTTGAGAGCTCTAGCTCGTGGAAGGCCATTTCGTTGCCGAGGATATTGACAGAGAACTCTTGTCGGGGCTCGCGCGGCAAACTTTACACGATTTTGAGAACCTGCACGTTCTGCGTTGCACAACTCGTGTCGTGTCGCCAGACTTATTACGTCCTAGTCTAACTTCGGAGGATATCCTTTGCGAGTACTTGCGAGCCTACGTGGACTGTGCATAAATTAAACAGGTGTCCGTACCGTACTACACGGTGTAGAGAGTCTGGCGAAATTCGAAACTTCTGAGCTCCGTGTGATTCGTACACAGTAGAAAACGTTTTGTACCTTTTGTGCTAAAATCGGTCGTTGTTAACATTTTTATGTTAAATTTTGAACATACTCCTGTGTTAATTTATCATATGGTGTTTGTTATCTCAGCATTTTGTGTTGTGTCGATATTTAACACGTGTAAATGTTAAAATAACATATTTTATACTTCAGTGTTGATTCGAACGTATTAATTTTGTGTTAATATTTGACATATTTGTGTTATTTTTCAATATATTCACCTTGTGTTTAAATTAACACAAATCTGAGCGGACCGTTTGGGAAAAAAGTGTTAAATTTCACGCAAAATTTTTTACTGTGTAGTAACATGCTCGAGCTGAATGAAATAAAAAAATTCTGTGTTAAAAACGGTCCATTGAAATTTTCATGTTACTTTAACATGGGGAATACGTTAAAAAATACATAAATATGTGTTCATATTCATCTTGTTAACGTATTATTTTTCAACATATTTACCTTGTTAAAACAACATAACAATTTCAATGGACCATCTTCAGCAAAGAATTTTTTACTGTGAACAGCTGGAACATACGTGAGTTTTCAAAATCATACTCCGTAGTTGAAAAATCAACATTTCTTTACAATTTCTTCTTTATGCGATTCTTTACATTTTCCGTGGAATTCTTTACCGCCGCAAACGTGACATCGTTCCTGAGTAAACCTGCTAATAATACTGCAACGGTCAAAGATGCATTAAGATATTCATCAAAGAGGCTACGGAGGCGGAAACCTTTCAAGACAGGTGAAAACTTTCCTGTACGACGAAACTCCGCGAACGAATCGTGTCGCGAAACGTGAGTACGGTCGTGATCTCTCTCCGAGGATTGCGCGCGGCACGAACTCGCCGGATCCTCCCGACGATGCGGATATTCATAAATTATCGGGAACTGCGCTACACGCACGGGATATTACGCGACGCGACGCGAAACCACCTTGATTTCGTGGACGTAACGTAATTAGCAATAAAACTTCCGTACAAGTACGCACTTCCTAGTGCGCGCGCGCTCGTCAACCGGCCCGTTTCGCGCGTCTCGGGACTTTTTTCACGCGCGCGCACGCATCTCCGGCATTGCGGCTGACCCGGTCAAACGGCCTTAGGAGGAGAAACCTTACGATCGATATACTCGCGTGTTTATTGCTGAACTTTTAAGAAAATTTATTGTCAAGCGTTTTCGACGTCCCCGGCGAGGGGGGAATCGCATCATTCTTGCCGAGCATGCGAGCGTCGCGTCGCTTCGGCGTGAAACTATCGGGAAAACGTGTTTCGCGTAGTATATCAAGCCGGACAAATTTATTGCTAGATAAATAACATCGGAGGTACGATGATACGCGTCCACACATACGCTCTCTCGCGCGCATATGTGATATTATAATACGCGGCCGCACTTGAGGAATGTGAGAGACGCGCGCGAGACGAAAGTAATGGAATACCGTCTCGCGTTCGTCGACGTATGCGGCCGTGCCGATGTGCGCGAGATCGGAGATCGATGAAGGGATTTAATGAACGATGATCAAGGTGTCACATTCAGGTATACAATAATTTTTTATTCCACCTCACTCACTCACTCTCTCTCTCTCTCTCTCTCTCTCGGACACTCGAGACACTCGAACGATGCGCGCGATATCATCCGATCGTGTTGACTACCGCATCATCTCCTCTCCCTTCTCTTTTTGTACTTGAGCGCAATCGCGATCTCGCGAATCCGCGAACGATCGGCGCGATCGGCGAGCATTTTTCGGAGCGTCCTCGCCGCTTGCGTTCCCACCTTCGAAAAGGATCCTCGGAAAATATAAGTTACGCTAGGAGTACTGGAAATTCGCGAAATCACAATTTATCCCGGCCGCGCGTCACCCTCACCGAGTTCGCCTGCGGCGAGCGAGTTCCTGGCGAACGAGCGCGGAATCGAAGCGCGCGGACACCGCCGAACCGGTGTTTTCTTTTCGCGACGGTACGCGCGAAGCACTACTCACTGGCCATCGAGAACGGTTGCGGTTACATATATCGTTTAACGTTAAACTGTCGCGCCGGTGAAAACCGCCGCGACGCTCGCGAGAGCACCGCTTAAAATAAGGCACCATCGTACGTCGCCCCGACAGGAAAAGGACATACATATCGCGACCCGATAACCCCCAGGTCGGCGTACACCTGCCTGCCAGGGTACGACCGGGCCAAAGGGACCGTGTGTCCGGCTGATACCGAGCGGCTTGAGCAATTTTCATCGATCGGGACGGTCGCCGATCGTAAAGCCGTTTATGCCGGCTGGCTATGCGCGGCACTTCTTCTTCTTCTTCTTCTTCCTCCTCCTCAACATCGAGCGAGCCGCGTAGCTCTCAGCTTCTTCCTCCTCTCACTTTTCCCTCGTGTCGTTTGGACGTAATCGTATTCGGCTACTCCTCCTTCCCCCCCACCTGGCTCGTCCTCTCGTTTCTTGCGCCGAGAGGCGCACCTTTGACACTTCACGGCGTGATTCTCGCGCGCGCGTTATTACGATGTAACTGTACCTCCTTCGTTCCTCTTTCCCTCCTTCGTTATTTCTCTCCCTTCGAGCGTTCACCGCTGCTCCCGGTGCCCTCGGCTTCCGTCGCTACGCTCGGGAGCCATCTTCGACGGGCCACCGTCACTCGGCGACGATTTCTTCGGAACGTCCGAGATTCGGTCGAGTTCCTATCGAGCACCTTCCTCGGGTATCCGTGGTCATGTCTTCCGAGTGAGGTCCAACGGTGGCCCGGTGTCTTGAAGGAGCTCGTTGTCCTCGCTGTCGCTCGACTTGTCCTCCTCCTCCGTGCTACCGGCGTCCGCCTCCTGCGCGTCCGTTCGCGCTCCTTCCTTCATACTGAGGTCCATCGGTTCCTCTTGCTCCGGGCCGAGAGATCGCAGGAACGCCAGGCTCTTGTCGTACGTGACCTCGATCGAGGCTGCCCGCGGGCATCCTCGCTCGACCGTCTCGCGGCCGACCTCGCGGCTCTCTTCGCTCCTCTTGGGCGACGGGGTCGAGCGCGGGGTCACGCTCTCGCTGGACGAGCTCGACAGACTGGTCACCATCTGCGGCGGACCCACCTGGTTGACGTAAGGTACGATGAAGCGCTGCTGGAACGGGAAAAACGGTGTGTTGAGCAGCTGCATGTGCGTGAGCGCCGGGTGGAACAACGGCGGGCCCCTCCACATGGGGAACCTCGAGACCTCCGGCCTGAGGAGCTCGTGCGGAGCCCTCGCGAGGTCGCCCGGCCTCAGGATCGGCTCTTGGCTGGTCCGCGGCGGCATCGGGATGTCCTGCGGCCTGAGAGCGCCGCCGTCCTCTCTCTTGGGCAACCGGTCCGGGTGATGGTGGTGGTGCAGATGATGATGGTAACTGTTCGCCGTGGTGGTCGCCGTGGTGACGATGCTGACCACGCTGCTCGCGCTCGTGTTGCTCGCGTTCTCGGCGTTGCTGTTGCTGCTGTTGTTGTTGTTCGCCGCGTCCAACGAGCCGAAGGCCTTCTCGTACGCGGTCTTCGGGTCCTTGATCAGGCGTGTCTGCGCCTGATGCGACTGCTCCTGCAGCAGGCAGTGTATCTTGAACCAGTTGGAGCGGCGGCCGTAGCGCGAGCCCGACTTCGACATGCCCACCATCAGGCACTTTCGCAAGCGGCACGCCTTGCAGGCGGTGCGGTTCTTCTTGTTGATCACGCAGACCCCGCCGTTTTTGCACTCGGAAATGCTGCCCAGATTGTTGTAGGTGCGCCCGAAGAAGGACTGTGTAACAGAAAGCGAAAGAGCCGCGCATTGGTCAGTGGCAAGGGAGGTCGAGCGACTCGTCAGCCGTCGGTTGGAGACGGGGGAAGCACGGTGAAATTTATCGTTACGATTCAGCTGGCTCGTCGATCGAAAACCTAGCTCAGCTGTCGGAGACCCGTGAGACTACGAAAGACCGGACTGGTGGAAGTAGGTACGAGGCCGCTTACGAGCCGTAATTGAAGCTTCAGACAATAAACGCTGTCCCGCAGCTATTCCGACGCGTGTGATGACTTTGAACTTAACGGTAAATCACCGGCGAGACGGATTTTAAGGAGCGCGGGATATCCTTGCACTGCAAGGGATCACGTCGGCGACGTAAGAGAGCCCGGACTCACAAAAGACAACGCGCGCGCCGCGACGATATCGCTCCTCTTTGTCTTCCCGCGGCGCGAGTTCTACACGATTTACGTAATTTCAGGCGCGAGTGTCACACACACGTCGCGAGAAACGGGTAATGATCTCGTCCCCTTCTTCTCCTCTTCCTCGTCCCTCTTTTTTCTTTTCCTCTCTTTTTCTGTTTCGTCGCCGGTGAATAAACGATACGGATGAATAGCCGTGGAAGAATGGCGGCGCGAAGATACTGACCTTGCAGCCTTCGCACGTGAAGGCCCCGAAGTGAAAACCCGCGGCCGGCTCTCCGCAAACCCTGCAGAGCTGATTCATCTGCAACAAAAAGATGCGACATGTGGTTACGCACGGGGTCCCGAGGACGCTCAGAATGTGCCTGATCCCCGTACAATGTCTGCCAATCACGGAAGGGTTCCTCGAGCCCGATCTAACGCGCGCGCTCTCGAAACGCGAGTTCGAAACAACGAGGAGAACTATGATACGGTATAATCGCGAGACATGTATGTGTCGGATCCTCCCCTCCCTCTCTCTCTCTCTCTCTCTCTCTTTGAATTTTAATATTATTTAATATTTCTTTCCATAATATCATCACTGTAAAATATCGATATCCTGTGATTCATTTGGTCTCTATCCACTTGTGTTACATGGACTAAATAATTTTTGCGTTTTAGTTTATTAATCGTGTTAATCTTACACCAAGAAGAAAATTATAGATTCCACGAAATTCTTTGCTCAAATGAATAAAAGTTTTTTTAAACACTACGTTTAGTCCACTGGACAAATTATATAATTACCGTAATAAGTTATCAGTTGATTTAATAATTACGATTTCGTCAGCAATTATATTAACGCAACATCTTGTCACGCCAATAAACACGTAATTTCTCAGTTCAGTGGACACAATATTCTTTTAATGAACGTGACCACCGATTTTATCGATTCCAATCGCTTTTCTTCTTAGTGTAGAATGGTCGCATAACTGAATGTTATGCGCAACACGAGTGGTCAATTGGATGACAAGAGTTCTCGACTTTAAATTGACATTTTCACAATCAAAAATTACTTCAGAAAGTAATTATATTTATTTACGTGAAAATTACCATAAGGAAAATATCGTGTTTAAAACAAAACTGAAATCATTTTTACTTATTTTTCTCAATTTATGGACAAGAAACAAGCGAGGAACAAATATGAGGAGATTAACATTGTTTGGAAATTATCTGTTTAAACACTAAGATACAATATATAGGTAATTTATCATTTTCAAGGAAAGTATCATACATATATAATTACAATGTTCTAGATAAGTTCAATTTATACACTTTTGGTACAATATCCCAATGATCTCATTGCGCTCTCTCCCGCAGAGAAAACAACGATTTCGCACTCCTGGGCGCAGGTTGTTTTTAATTTCCCGCAATGGACAAGAACAGTCCCTAACTGACAAATACACGGAGGCGCAAGATGAATGCTTATTAATATTTATCTGAAAATACATTTTAGCGCGCATGGATGACACCTGTCATCTGCACGGCCACTGTCAGTTAAACATCGAACGATTCGTTCGCCGAATAAACATGTCTATTTTCTCCCCCGACTGGCACAACCGCGCGGTCACAGATCACAGAATCTAAGACCACAGATCGGCGATGTATATATATATATATATATACAAAGCAATCGATATATATATATATCGATTATACAAATACATATATACGTTATAACGTCACTCGGGAGAATCTCAAGAATCCGCGGATTCGATCTCGCGCCGGGATCCCCGACTACAACCTGTCGTCGGACGCAGCCTTTGTGCGTTCGCGGCCGATCCGCATGCGTATTGCGGTCGCCAATCAGCGCGCTCGCATCTGCTCCGCGACGAAGATCCTCTCCGGGAGCGAACGGCATCGCGAGAAGCCGCCGTCCGGTCGTGGCAGCGGTGACGACGCGCGGCGGAGGACGAAGAAAGAAAGAAAGAAAGAAAGAAACAAGCAGGACCCTTTCTTGCCGCTTTCGCGCGAGGATCGACGCGGCGGTGGCGGCGGGGGTTTCGTTGCAAGAGACCGCGTTCCTATTAAAACCTAGTTAGCCAGTCATTACCGGGCCGCGCGCAGCTCCTCCGCGAAGGTTCTCTGGATACTCGGCGACCGGCCGCCGCTGCGAGAAAGGCGTGAAGAGAGGAGAGGAGCGACGGCGTGTGTGGCGTGAGCGTGCGGATTGTAGCGGGCAAAGAGCGAGGATGTGACTCGCACGGGCCCGATTCCCACACGAAAAGGGTGAACTAAGGTAACGGTCGAGCGACGGCGACCGCGCGCGCATTATGAGCCCGCGGAATAATCGCAGGTGATCGAGGAATCGTCGATCCGAGCGTCGAATTTCCGCGGACTGTGCAGGCCCGTCCATACAAGTCGCAATACGTAGTTCGCAAACGGTAGCAGGAAAGTGACAGCTATCCATTGCTTTCCTCTGATTGATCGACGCAGTTGCCGTAACGCGGAAAGCCGGAGTTGAACTTAACTCATTGCGCATGGCCGACTTGCGAATGCATGCGTCAAGTGTCATTTTATGAGTATCTCTTAATTTGAACGTGTAACACAAGGATTCTTGGAATGCGTTTTCTCGCTACCCACATCATTAAACAAGAATAGTGACAGCGAGTATCCAGAAAGCCTTAAGAACGTCAGAGTCGCGTTATAATTTCGAGTCGGATACCGAGTCGAAAATTTAATCTTACTTTATGTCTAATTTAGTTTTACATAAAATTTTCAGAGGTCTTCTATTGATGCTCCTTTGATGCCATAAGTAGGAACTTATTTCCGTTTTCTCCTCTTATAGACCTAATGTAGAACTTAAAATTTCGATTCAAGTATGTACGGGGGGACGCGTCGCTCGCGATTATTTTTTACGAGCGACCGTTTTCACAAGCGGGCGCCTTTACACGCGATTAGCATTTCAGTTGGTCGCGCTCCGCTCGCTCTTCGCGGATGATGAATATCCACAGTTAATATCCCATCGCCGAACGTTCCGAGTGGATCGAGACGGATGCGTGGCGGATGGTGCGCGGGATCTGCGAGAATCGATCGCGGATTTAGGCACCGCCGCCGTCACCGCGCGCCTCGTTGCGGAATCGGTTTGATTACAAAATGATTACGCGAACGAGCGTGGTGGACGGAGTTCCCACCGCGGCGATTTAAATCGCCGGGGTGTTTCGACACCGTCGAACGTTATTTATTTATCACGTGAATATATATCGGCTGCCGCGTGCGCGTCGTGATGGCGCCTTGCGAATATGTCGTGCGGTTTTTTCCCTCTCTCAGAGCGCGCTAAAAGAGGGAAAAAAGTGAATCAATCTCTCGTGAATCCATCACCGACGACCGGATTCCTGCGATCCGCCGCGCCGTCGCGAACGTCGGAAGCGACGGCGCGAGTACTCGAAAACGACTTTCGATCTCATTAACCTGCGAGCGTATGCGCCGCGGCCACGGGCTGATGACTTCTCACGGAAATGACGGCAAGGAGAGCCGTCCGAGAGGCGCAGGCCGAGGAAGCGGGCAAAAAAGGTTAAACGTCCAACAGATGACGCGGCGGCTATGTCACCTCGCTTCTAATCCCCGCGGCCGCAGACCGCTACACATCGACACTAAATAACGCGCTCGGGCCGCGCTTTCTTCTCGTTTTTCGTATCTGCATCGCGACACGCACGGCCGATCGGCGCCGCGCGGTCCGAATCCTTTCGGTCGTTAGGTCGCCCACCCGCGTGAGAATCTCATTGAAGACGCTGTCACAGAGAGCGCTCGATAAAAAAACACGGAGGTGCCGACATAACGCGTGTCTTCTTTTCTTTCTCCCCTAGTCGAAATTTTAGTCCTATTTTAAGTCTAATTTAGTTCTACACTCAATGCTCAATAGAAGATCTTTGTGCTCTTTTGGTGCTAAAAATAAGGAAGTTTTGCCGTTTTCACCACTTGAAGACTTAATGTAGAACTAAAATCTATCTGGAGGATTAAATTCCCTTTGTAACTTCAAAGGAACATTTATTGTGTTCCTTTGATGCTATAAGTGGGAACTTATTTCCGTCTTCTCCGCTTGGAGACTTAATGCAGAATTAAAAATTTCGACTCGGATCTTCCCGCATCGAAATTTTAGTGTTATTCTCACGCTCTTAGTTTGCGCTTACTTGAACGGCCTATAGACTAATAAAAACTTATTTTGACGATACTAACAATTCTTAATTTCTCTCTGGAATCTTTAATTCTACACATTGAATTTTAATGCTACCTTCAACAACTTATTTTGACATTAAAACAACGAAAACGAAAATTTAAAACATCATTAAGGTTAAAGTGGAGGTTATATTATAATATTAGAATCGAAATTGAATCTATTTTGCTATCTTAGCTCCTATTATTTTGCAGAATTAAAGGTTTAATATAGAGCCAAAATTTTGACTGGGATTTGCATCGCAAAGACGAGACACGTTTCCTCTCTGCGATCTCCCCCGTTCTCTCGATTTTATTTCTCGACTGCCGATTCACCAAGAATAATTCAGCTTGGGTAAATACCAATCAAACATGCGAGCGACGACGGGCGTAAATTCGCGCGACCGCTAGGTGCTTTCAACCCGATCAGTTTGCGAGAGACACCGTAATTTAATTGAATCGCGAGAACCGTGATTAAACGCATTAAATGCCACAGAAATACCATATTTGAATAATAGGAAAGGTCGTAATTCACAGTAAAGGCTATGTGACAAGCGGATCTCTCTCTCTCTTTTTCTCTCTCTGTCTTTCTCTCTCTCTCCCGTCCCCGGCAATTAATTCTTGACATTAATACCAATTTTTATTACAAGTGATCATCTTTCTTTATATCCACCGTTGACCATGTAACCATATGTATATCGTTTGACGTAAAGGATATTATTAGTATCAATGTCGTCGTTGTTTATGAAAAGTAGCTAATACGAAACCGAATGCACTTCCGGATGCACCCTACGCTATGATAAATCGTGAAAATAGAATAAAATGAGGAAATATATGAAAAATACGTGTATTACTTTTTTTTGAAAGCATAATAAAGGAAGCAAATTAAACGGGACGCTCTGCGACTCGCATTCGCCAGCGAAATACTTGGTTACTAAAAAGTTTTTACGGAAGTTAACGAGAGAAACAGAGAGAAAGAAAGAAAGAAAGAAAGAAAGAAAGAGAGAGAGAGAGAGAGAGAGAGAGACTCACCACGTCGGTGTTGGCCGCTGCCGAGGTGATCGTCGACGTAGGCGTCCACCACCCTGAGGTGGCGGATGTCGTGTTGGCGATGATACCAACACCCGTCGCACCCGAGATGGTTCCGCTCCCTGACAATCCTCCCGGGCTCGACAAATCGCCCACGTCCATTCGACGCTCTTTAATCCCTCGGTGTCAGCCGTCCTGGCCTGTAAGCCGACCTGCCCTCTTTCCGTTTGAGGTAGCGAGCTAACATTTTGCACGCTTTTCTCGCGTTGTCGCGTGCTTGTCGGCGAAGTATTTGGTGCGACGCGCGATTTCCGGTCGCTTTCCGCCTAAAAGAAGAAAGAAAAAAAACGAATAGCTCTCTGGAAAGCTACTGCGATGCTGCTTACTAGTGGTGAAAGATTAAACATAAGTAGAAATAAAGCATGACTTAGTGCTGTTAAATATTAATATTACCTTCTTAATATTAATATTTCATTTTATCCTCCCATAATCATATTAATATTAAGAAAGCAATATTAATATTTAATAGCGCTTTATTCTTAAAGGCCCCTTAATACTTTTCAATATTTGGTTAAATGAAAATTTACTCAATCGCTCATACAATTTCGCATATTTAATTATTATTTACCGCCGAATCTGTAGATAATATTAGGTCGTTGATAATGTCATGTACGAACAATCGAGTTCCTTCATCAATTTAGGCCGGAGTCGAGGCTCCATAATCGACGATTTATTCGTAAATATATCAAATAGGCATACAAGCGCACACACACACAGAATTAGTTTGGTGTTGAATGTCGCCTCCTGGCAACGGAACGCCCAAATATACGGTAACGGATATCCCTCCGGCTATTAGCGCGACGTTTTTACGGCGAACGAACGCGCGAACGAACGGCGTATCAGCGCGGCGTATAATAATTATTTCAGAATACGAGCGGCGCGGCGGAGGGTCGCTGGCGTGCACGGGAAAGATAGAGAAGGAGAGGAAGATAGAAAGAGAGAGAGAGACAGAGAAAGAGAGAAGGCCGTTGAGAGTCGTCCGAAATCGCGAGATCGCCGAGCATCCCCCGGGCCCCGCGCTCGCTCGCTCGCTCGCGTATCGCTCGAGATAACATGTCGTGTTTACAACGGTGTAACGCCATTACCATGTTAACGCAGCCCGCCCTGCGAGGGACGCATAAATACGAGAGCTAATTACAGACGCTGCCACGTATTAATTTTCGTCCGCGCGCCACGTGGGAACTCAGCCGGCGCGCGCGAGAGAGAGAAAGAGAGAAAGAGAGCGCTGGCGCGCGTAAACGTGTACCACGCCGTTGATCTCGACGAGATTTAATTTCAATTTGTTGAAGAGGAACTCTCCGCGACGGTCGGCCGTTGCAACGCGAGATGGAACGGGAGATGTCGTAAATCCACCGTGTGCGCGCGCGCAAAGAGGACTGATGATATTGTCCGTATGGAACACAATGTAAAGAAACGAAGCGCTGTACTTTAGCTGTTGACGAGAAATCCGATCGGCGGGTCCGCGGAAAATCGATCCAGTTTTCACGACACGATTCGAAAGTGAGTGTTAACAGAGGGGGGGAGGGAGGGTGGAGGACGGGCGACACGACTGGGAGCTTGATTAGTCAATCTCAAAGCCACGATTAAGAACGCAGTAATTGGCGGCGACGGTGGCGGCCGCGAGTTAATCTTACGGAATATTATCGGCGCGCACTTGCAACACGATCTCACATTATACGCAAGAATCTGTGGCAGTGAAGATTATACACGAGATTTCGAGTGTTCATGGATTATAATTGAAACGCGTGATTGCGTTTATTAAATGCCATGAATTTATAGTTGCGAGAGATTACGAGCCGGCGCGCCGTTCGAGCCGCTGCTAACATGTCGGAGTCGGCGGCGGCGTAAACCGAGGAGAACCGATGCGTCTAATCCGGAACACTAATGGCTACCAGCACAAACAAGCGTAAAATCCACAATTAGCGCATATAATTTGCATCCCCCTCCCCCGCTTCGCCGAAACCTTTTAACCGTCGATCGGTGATAATTCAGAGCCATTAAGGCGTGAACCTTAACATCGGTCGGTGCGCGAGGTCTACGCCTGAATATCGAAAGAACCGTTTCTCGCTTCTTGACTTCGCGTCTAATAGCAGTTTATCGTAAGAATGTGGTTTCCAGAACACCCCCTCGGTAGATGTACGGCTACTCCGTTTAAAGGCATTCCGGAATATCTTCGCGAAGGGGCTCACACATCCGGAACCTGAGCAATAACCTTCGGTATCGAACCAACGAAGAAAATTCCCCTTTATCGAACTCATCATTGCAGCTCGCAATGCGGAATTACACGATCACCTCGTGACCCCTCTGCGAATAATCGCGACTCGCACGGGAAAAAGGAACTCTGTTCCTGCAACAAAATGGGGACCAGATGAAAACTCGATGACGAGAAATGAAAACTCGACGGCAATAAGTGATATATCTCTGTTACCGCGACTGGGAACATTCGTGTGAACATTCAGCTGCATTGAAACTCGGTCGAGACGAACTGAAAATAATTGACTGAGTAGAAACATCCTACACTGAGAGAAAAATATTTGCTATTTATAATTATAATCATCATAGTAAAAGAATTATAGTCGGGGAAACTAATTTTCTAGTAAGTGTTATTATAGTGTCGTTAGTGATAATAACCTTGCATATATGTTGCTAATGTTATTTTTGTGTTTAAAACTAAAAAAAGGGTTACGGTTGACATCGAAAGTAACTATTATCTTTCTTAATGTATATTGAGAGAAATTATAGTTACTTTCGGCCTCAGCAATACCCTTTTTATGATTTTAATCATAAAAATAGTAGCAGGAATGTGCATGTAAGGTTATTATTACTGACACTGTGATAATACTTATTAGAAAAATGATTCTCCTGACGATAATTCTTTCACCGTGATGATTATCGTTACAAATATACCAAATATTTTTTCTCTCAAAATATAGGAATCTTTCCGTTCCTAGAATCGAATTCTCATTTGGTCTTTAGGTAACGGAAAATTCACTTACACCAACGGAATTGTTTTTTTCCGTGCGAGATAACGTCAAGCACGAATATTCTCGTTAAAGGGACTTTCGTTCGTGCCATCAACGAAGGAATCGTTGCGCGAAATGCGACTGAACGATCGCTCTCGCGAGCGAGCGTGCACGTTATTCTCACGTAAAGCGTACACTAAAATCGAACATAATCGGCCATGTCGCGACAAAGAGGCACGCCGCGGTACCGCCGATAAATTTTATTGCGCGCCGTCTTCGCAGACTAATGACAAATTAATTAAGAGCCCGTATGCCCGCGGAAGACCGGTTCCGCTGAATACATCGTCGCCTCGCCGCGCGCGTGCGGCTCCGATAAATCCTTGTTTTCACGGATTAACGCGCGCGCGCGCGCACCCGTCCGGCGGAGCGGTAGCGCAATTGTAACGCGGCGATAAACACGCGTTCTCGAGTTACGACGGCGCGATGATGACGGCGACGACGATAACAGGCCATCGGTGGCATCAGGGTTTTTCCTATTTGCGTTTTCGAGTCGACGACGAGCGTGTATTTCATTAGCTGTTGCCGAAGGACGCCATTCTCGTTTGCGCGCAAAACTATTATCGCGCCGCCGCACCGTCACCGATATGTCTCAGCTGTCATAGAACGTGGCGCGAAGACGCGCCACACACGTCTTTTCGATATTATTAATGTAGATTGCGACGCGTCCTCGGACTTTAAAGAACAAGAAAGAGGAGAGGTGAGACTCCTCGCGTCAGCGCGTAGCGGCGCGCCCTGCGCGCCTTCGCTGAGGAATGCCTACGCTCGCGGCGTGGACAGATCACGCGGGCGACGCAATATCGATTGTGACTTTAATTTGCGAAATAATTGGGGTGTTAGGGCGCAATTAGCGGCGGTGCGAGAGGCAATGGCGCGGGCATTAAATCGCGCGACCGCGATCTGCCGGCCGCCGTAATGTTCGGCGAGACGGCCTGACATTTCGACGCGCGAAACAACGTCTCGATCGCGTCGCTTTGGCGAGGCGTCAGGCCGTGATCCGAAGCGTGAGTCGAAGTCCTCTTCATGATACGAGTTCTATAAGCGTGTTCCGGATGAATTAATTACTCGATCGACGGAATTTCTTTTGCGAAGTATGAGAACTCCGTTAAACTCCGTTACATATGTATTAAAAAAAAAGAAGGAAAGAAAAAAGTGCCACGTTCAAATAAATATTTACGTTAAGGAATATTGGAATGATTATTTTACTTCACGGGAGAAAGGGATTAGCTGTCCATATAACCGAAATTCAGTTACCAGACGTAGTTTTTAGCTGTGGGAGTTAAAAACTAGGCGTAGGGACAAAAAGAATCAGCTAAATTAACTAAATTTCAGTTGAATCATATGGACGACTAACTGTTACCTGTGGGAATTATTTATTTTTTTTTTTCGTGTTGGATCAAGTAAACGTAACTTCAATGAAACTAAGAAAAGTGCTACATTCTCTCTCAAGTAATATTTACTTAATCCAAGTAAAATAATCATTCAAATACTCTTTAGTAAATATTTATTACTTGAATATAGAACTTTTTTTCTTTCAGTGTACATATCACAAGTACCGAGATACTCCGCAACGATCAGCCGTGACACTCGGTGTGTCAAGCCGTGAAAGTTCGCACGATCGCACGGTATTGAGATATCCGGCGAAATCAATGCAAATTTATCTGGCGATAACGCTCGGTCGGTTTCTAACGACCTCCTGTATGCGTTTCGTCGCTGTCGTCGCAGCTAATTCGTTTCTCCCTGTCGGCCCGATCGATTCCTCTCGCTTTGCGAAAGTCACCGTCACTCCTATCCCGCTATTAATAATTCGAGATTGTCCGGCAATATTTCTTTTTCCATCTGACAGGCGCTCGCGCGCGCGATCGCTCGACTACCACTGCTCATCTTCGTGATAATAATAATGATCGAAAGGTAAAACACATTCGTGCCCAAAATATCGCCTGTGTATGCGTGTGCGTGTATATATTCACACATACACACACACGTGTACACGCGCTTCGTTCCTCCTTTCTTTTATTCTTTTCTTTTTTCTTTTTTTTTTTTGTCAGACGGACATCCCGATCGCTGCCAAGTCGTGGCAGCCAATGAGTGACGAGCAGACTGCAGTTTTAATGAACCGGTTGTGAGCCGGCACGTCACACGGATATCACCGTGCCGGCTGCAGACAGTCGAAATTGTTGTGCCCCTCCCCTCCCCCGCGGCCGTGATGTCGTGACAAATTAATCGTAATCGCCGCGAGGCCCGAATGGATTTTTCATGTAACGGCATCGCCCGGCCCGTTCGCGATCGCGCGCGGCACGTTATTAATGCCGAGCCTCGCCGATCGAGTCGATCGATTTTCATACGTGATTTCGCGAATCGAGCGCGCCGATGTTGCAGCTGCCGAGTCTCCCGAATGCTTTTAAATCCCCCGCAACATTCGCGTTGGGCTTTGAAAGTCTCGAGTGTTGAGTGTCAACGTGTCAGCGGTAGCGAGTCGAGACACCTTCAACTTCTGCGGCTTGATCAAAGAAGCTCACGCGACGCAGGTGTGAATCGGTTCCGATGCGGCGTATTAATCGAGCGCAGTGACAGCTCTCGGATAAACAAAACAACAAGACGCGTCGCCTCGTATGAAAGGCGTACATCGTTGCGTCACGTTATCGAAACGTAATTTCGCAAGAGATCGCGCCCCGACATTGTTTGCATCTCGCTTGCATAAGAGCGTGACGTCACGATTCTCCCAAACTCCGCTCTGAGAAAAGCGAAATGCGATGCGGCGTTCACGTTACGCCAGAAAATTATGTTGTGAACAAATGACAGAGAGAACGGCGCTCGATTAATCTCGCGCGACGCCCCTCGAGATCTCCTCGCGACGTTGCATCGAACGTCGCCGTGAAATTTGATCGTATCGAACATCCGAATGAGCTAATCGACCTAACCTAACACGCTCGAATGACGAATGTACTATTGCAATGAGAAAGAGAGACTGTCGAGTCCCAGCGATTTGTCATGTTCGTTTTTTAGCAAAAACCGCAAGAAGGCGGCACCGCTCGATATTTATTAATTTTACGTTTTTCAATTTTAACTCAAACTACTCCGAGTCTCAGAGTTTCTTCTGAGCTTAATTTAAGTCAACGAAACTTTTTGTTATATTTCCTCTCGTAAGAAAGTATCGGTCAGCAAAATACCAGGAAAAAGGCGCAAGATCAGATCTGTCATTCAGAATAGTGCTGTCCATTTCGACTATCTGAATCTTTCAGTGACTGAATGTACGAATAATTTCAGACGTTTGCGAATTATTACAAACTATTGATTTTTCTGACGTTACAACGGATAATAATAACGTCCGAAATTAGCCGTATACTCAATTACTGAATGACTCGGGTAGTACCCGGATAGTCGAAATTGACAGCACTGCTTCAGAACCGCCGAGTGTTGGGTGCTCGTATCAGTGCGTACCTGCGCGAAATCTGTCCAACGACGCAGTCCCGCTTATCACTGTATCCCTCTTCCTGCCGACGCACCCCCGAACAAACCTTCTGTGCTCGTCGTGTCGCGCCTACGAGCGCATCGTCGTCAATCGATATCAACGACAGCGACGCATTCTCGGCCGCTCCTCGGCCGCTCGTTCGCAAGCACAGAAAGCACACACCGACGACGCGCACGTCGTTCATTCACGCACACCGCGCGAGCCGTCAAGCAGTTCGCGATCGTCCCCGTCGCGTTAATAACGTCATCGCACCAAACCGATATTTATCTTATCCATTTATGTACTCCGATGCGCACACACTCGCGTCGCACCTCGGGTTCGGCGATATCCTCCGGCAGCGCAGGGAAGCGCGATCATCCGTCGGGTGGAACTCACAGTAGGAGAACGCCGGGCTTTGGCCTCGAAATGCCAACGACGAGTGTCCTCCGGGTTACCGTGCGCGGTGACCTTCCTTCCGGAAGCAAACTGCCGGAATCCAGCGGGATCGCTCGCCCGACGTCGCGCGACTTTTCGACAATTCCTCCGTGTAGCGGCGGGTCACGGCCCGGAAAGGAAACGGACGGAACCGATCGTGTGATATCAGGTGGAACGGGGAAACGCGCGGGATGATACGGGGGCGAAGAAGAGGAAGAAGACGGCGTCGTGGCTGGCTGGACCGCCGGCCGGCTCGGGGCGTGCGCTCGTGTAGCACGTGGCCGCGAGACTGAGTATCCCCTACCTCGGGCACCTTCGTCAGTCCGTTTGTCCGCCTCGTCCTTATCTCGCCTACCCACCCGAGAAAGACTACCGCGGCCTTCTCTCGCGGTCTCGCTCGCTCCTGGCAAGGTGATCTCTTTCGCGTTCTCTCTGTCCGCCACCGCTCTCGTCTTTCTCACTGCCTTCTCGCTCTCCCTCCTTCTACCCGTCTCTCTCTCTCTCTCCGTCCGCATGTCCGTCCGTCCCTCCCCCCGTCTCCCTCTCTTTCTCCCTCTCGAGAGCCACCGCGGCTCGGTGTAGCATCCGTCTCCGCGGTGGAGGCACCACTCGGTCCAGCTGTTCCTCTCGCTCGCTCGCGCGCTCCCTCGCGCCTCGTCCCTCTCCGTCCGTTCCAGCTGTTCGTATCGCACTTTGTCCCTCGCCGTCTATCCGCCTTACGTCCGTCTCTCTCCCCCGCCTTCTCTCTAGCTACAACCTGCTCCGCGCGAGGAGCCGCGGCGATTCTCCCGCGACCGAGGAGACGACACACGTACCTATGCGCGCTTCTATCTCTCCCCCTTCCCGCACGCCGGCCCCTTTCTGCTCGGTTCAGCGGTATCTTATGCAGATTCGCGGTAGAGAATTTCGTTCCGTTCCACGACGCCGTAGCGCAAAGCGAAGAATCACGGGATCCCGTTCTCTCTCCCTCTCTCTCTCTCTCTCTTTCTTTCTTTCTTTCTATCTCTCGCGGGACCAATTTTTAGATCCGTGAGAAGTTCAAGGTGAGAACGCTGCTGATCGGAACTCGTGTCAGCCGTCATGACATCGTTATCACGCTACTGCGTTTTATTAGGTCATATATAAGGCAGAATCAATCGCGTGTACAAAATCGCGTGTACGGCAAATAGGAAGGAAACGAGGTGGAAGATATATGTACTTCTAATTATATTTCTCGACCGTATTTCAATCTTTATCTATAACCTTCCATATCTACAATCTGTAATCTTATCTATGATTCGATCGTCAGTCAAGCTTTCATATAAGAAATGGGAATCAGCGCAACAGTCAATATATTAAGCTCAAAGCGAAGAATATCGCGAAATACTCGAAAGTTTTATCACTCTGCGTTTGTTCCGAGTTTGCATTCGTAAGTGTTCGGAAATTAAAATAGACAAGACGCATCGAAATTCGCAGTCGAAGCCGTGGAGATAGACGCAGGAACTGTTCGTGCTACAAAACACGACGCAAGGTAACATTTAACGGTTACTCGCGTAAGTATACCAGTCAGCCACCTCGTAAACGTAATCGAAGGAAACGCTACCGCGTCGTATAATGAAGTACTTTATTGCAGACGTGCTTTTTTTCTTCTTCCGCGCGCCCTAGCTATCGCAGGTGCGGCTGCTCCAAAGTAAACGTAGTCGCGCCCGCACACGTGAGATCTCGCGCTGCGATACCACGTCGTAAGTTCATCTATTTTAATTATAAGGCAATCCACGTACAAACACGATGCCCTCTCTCTCTCTCTCTCTTTAGAACACGCAAATGCAGATTTAAATGCACGAATAAGAGTAACGAATAAGTTCAAGTTTAACAAAGAGTTCGTCATTTCGAAATAATAGCATGTTACACAGAGTTTTTTGTTTCTTGTTATCTTGTTCTTATTATCTTGTTAACAATTTATATATAACGTTAAAAGGATAAGATGAGATAAAAGATAAAATAGTTAATCAATAGATTATGTATTTGATTTGCATAGTAATTATTAATACAGTTAAGTTTGTTATTAAAACATTATAGTAGAAGTTAAAAAGTGTTAAAGCGAAAGCATGCGATTTTTTTACTGAATTAATAAAAATTATTTGATACTGATAATGATTTTTGAAAAGATATAACGTGCGACGAGCGGCACACGTTGTCTGGTGACTTCAATGCATGGCCGTTTCGGAGATTTCAACACGTGGTTGCGCTGGTAATTTCAACGCGTGTGCGAACGGTGTTCAAGCGCGCGAGCTTTTCATTCGCTTCCGCAGATATCTTTGTTATTTTCGAGGGATAAATATTTTTATTTAATTTAAAGAGCACTCTTTTTGAAAAATAAGAAGTGAATTAACATCAGTAATATACGAGTAAAAAATAATACGGTTTCCCGATCCGTCGATCCACGAATCTCCGAGTTGGTAAATGTGAAAATCATTTATAATTATCGACGATAACGGTAATTATCATTCTTGGTCTATGATTTTTTATGTGTCGATGGTTTTATTGTTCTTTTTAGCTGTTCGTCGCGGTCGTACGTGGTTGGAACGTACGCGTTCGATTTTGCTGACGCTGTCGTGATCGATCGTAAAATGCTTGTATCGAACGAGCGCGTAAATAAATCCAATGACGTGTGACTTAACGATCCACGTGGAAAATATCAGCGTCTCGCGCGAGCATCCGTGAAGTATGCACCTTCGCATGAATATCCATTGCGCATTATCGCCAACCGCGGTGCAATCTCCCAATCTCTGCGGCGATATCGCAATCAGTTTCTTCCCCCGTTTGTTTTGCTTCCAGCTCGTCTTGAGATGAGACAAATGGTGTGCCGTTCTATCACCGGCGCAACGGAATGAAGCCGGAGAAGGCTCCGTTGTACGAAGTGGGAGGCGCTCGATCGGCGACCAATAGAAAGAGCCGCCACCCACGAAGTAATAAAAATTAATTTATCACACGGATCGCCGCCTACGCCATTGCTCCGTTCGCACCGGAGAGATACCGCAGCATCCCGCGAGATAGCGTTATCTGTCGGGTATTCCGGGAAATATTCAACTCGCGCGTTGCGGGATGAATTTGTTTTGATACGCTTCCAAATTAGGTCGTCTCATGTTAGTACTGGAATATAAGGTACAGATAAATCGTATTCCCCATCAAAAAAATGTTGATAGATTTATCGTTTTAAGACATTATCGATTGATAGATTTATTGTTTTAAATTATTATTAATTTGTAATAATATTAGCAACAATAGCAATTGTAATGTAAAATGTTTAATTGTCGAAATACGAGTGTTATGAGTAATATTACTGGAATGCGAAAGAATTAACCGAAATTAAAAGATTTTTTCATTTGCATATCCGCAGATTTCTACAAAATATTTTTTCATTAGTTATTTAGTTGAAGCAAAAAGCGTCCTTTTGATGTCTCATAATAGGTGAACAAATAAATGTTCGACACGCACGTTTGTTAATAAATAAATAAAAACCTTAATCTGCTCTTTAAAATGTATGTACGTGTAATTTTGATACAAAGAAGTTATTGTTATTCAAATTCAATGAAAATTAAAATTAAAAAATAAAAATAAAAAATTTAAAGTTCGCCATTTCTCATACAATTCAACGTATCTTAGCGGAAAATAACAATCTCATATTTAAAAACTAAAAACTTTATGCTATGCTTATGCCTATACTTTCCGAATTATCTCATTATCATTATCATTATTATTATTTTGTCCAAATTGCAGCTGGTTGAATTTAAAATCATAAAATTTGGAAATAAGAGGGACGTTTCATTAGTCATTATATTATATATTCGATTTCTCATTAAAAACAGTGGCGGCTCGTAGCGGAGAGTGTGAAACTACATTTTGAAATAATCCGATAAAAGTTGGACAACGGACAGTCTGTCGCCATCTACCAGTGTCGCAGGAAATCTAAATAGTGTGCGGTTTGAGTCTCTGCTAAATGATTACAAGCCGATATTCATAATCAGATTTTATATATACTTAAGATTGCTTGAGTTTATCTTCAGATGTTTTGTAGCCAATAAAACGACCCATACAGTATCTGAAAATGAACTTAAGACGATTTTAAATATAAAATCTGACTATGAATACCGGTCTCAGAAATAACAATAAAGTCATTTGATTTGTCCGTATTACTTCCACAAAATGATTGAAACAAAATTAATGGTGTGAAACAAGTGCGTGTCAATGAATTCATTATGTTTCATATAATGAAGAATGAAGCTGGCTATTCGTCGAGTTATACTACTTGAGAAATAAAACAAGCGTCTGACTTGTATCGGATTGTGTCACGCCTCAATTCCCCAGAGCTGCGTTTCAAAACTCTACTATGGGCGGAGTAACATTAATTAACAAGTTATGACAAAAAAATCTTGACTCTTTTGATCCTGGGTATAGATCATATTATTTCTTCTTAAGGCGGAAATGTGAAAAGTGAAAATTCCAAATGTTTTCGATCTGGAAAATTTATATTTTTCACGTTAAAGAAGAAAATCCATAATCAACCTCCAAAAGGTCGTAAATTTTCTCTTGTAGCATGAATTCGTGAAATTTATACATTTTTTCAATTCGAAAATGCTTAGAATTTTCACTTTTCACGTTTCTACCCTAGAGAAAAATTACATGATCGATACTCTGATTGGTCAATTATTTATTACTCTACCCGTCAAGTATGGTTTTGGAACGCAGCCCAATAAGTGGCGACTCGTAGCGGAGACTTTGTAATTAAAAGTGACGTCACCAGAGAGAAGCCTTCAGACTTGTGCACAATGAAAATCACAAGCAATAGGAACAGAGAATAACACAGGCAATATATTTCCAACCTATCGGAAACCGTGTATCAATTGCTGTGGTTTTCATTGTGCATAGACCTTTCTCTTTGACGATCCATTCCCTCATTATTAGTTTCAAAGACTCCGCTACAGGCCGCTACTATCTTCATTGAAGGATCGAAGTGTAGTACAAATCAACGGTGAGTCAGTCGTCCTGGTTCTCTTCAAGTAATGTGGCTCAATGACCGATGAAGCGATTTATTATTTTCATGTCGCACCTTACCTTAAAATCAACCATAGGAAGACAAAGAAAAAATAAGAGAATCGACAAAGCACTTTTTTATTTCACCAAGAATTTGTATCAAATTTTACATCCAGCAATTACGTCTCAGGAGGATACAATTTAATAAGAAATTTATATTTGATTTTCTCTCGCAAAAGTACAACTCGTTTCGGTGATTTTTGTAACAGACGAGAATCGAGAACTTGTTCTCACACTTCTCACATCACGTGGCGGATCTTCCTCTTTGTGTCTATGGATATGGTAAATTCGCGGGTGCCGCACACGCCAATCTCATTCCGCATGGTAGGCAGCTGAAGAAATGGTGGATTGTTTTTATACAGTGTTGACGGCTGATATTCGAACTTGAAACATGTTGCACTTGCGACAGATGACGATCGCATGATAATAAATTGAATGAAATAGAGTGTGTTCGTAATGTGTGACTCGTTTTGGGAACCTGTAGCTGAAATCTACCTCGTTGAGCGGGAGAAGACCGATGATATCGATGATTATTATAGTTGTGTCGTTAGCAGAGTGGTTTTAGGGTAAATATGTAAGACCAGTCGCATTCTATTTTTTTTAGTCAGTTTGCTGACTTAAAAAAATGTATACACAAATGCACAGACACACACATACATGTATATATACATAACTAATGTCTTCGCATGATAATGAGGTCCAATAGATATTTGAGATATCAAATATTTTTTTCTTTGCAACCTATCTTGATATTGAGTAGATATTTGTATTTCAGCTATGTCTTTTTATATTTGACCCAAGCTGTGGAACTATACTACCGTTATTTGTTCAATGTCATCTTTATTGTTTTGGCCAGTGTGATCAATATAAAGGACATACAAGGAAGAAAGTTCAACTTATGTATGTTTCCACAGTTATCACAATAAAAAATTTAAAAATAGTGTCATTAAATTTTTTCCTACAGAAATGAGAAAGTTTTAAAGTATCCGAGAGAAAGGAAATGTATTTATACAACATAATTTTATATAAGGAACGAGCATTTATTCAAGCTATTTTAGAAAAATTAGGAAATTATATCTTTATTAAAAATGTTTTTTTAATCTGTGAGGCAATGGATAAAAAATTTGTTCTGAAACAAGTGTGTTTTTAATGTATTCTAAAGCTAATGTGTTTTATAGGGACACTAAGAATTGTACAGTTTTAAATTTGGAAAATGACAGTGAAGAAGAAGCTATCGACAAAGATGTTATGGAATGGACGTTGGATTTTGACAAGGAATCTAGAATAGAGACTCAGTCTATAGAAAAGCATGATGTATGATTACTTGATTTATCAATACTTTAAATATATTCAATTTTAAATATATTAAAACAGACATATGAGATATAGTAATTTGACGATTGTATGATTTATTTTTTTTTATTTTTTTTTTATTTTTTTGTACCATATTCAAGTCAATTATCAATTTTTTTATTTAGGAGGAACCAGTAAGCTGTTATGGCAGCGCGTCCCACACAGACAACAATTATTCTACAGATGAACATGACTCGGTACGCGATTCTGCTTACCGGCCGACCATACATGCTTCAACCCAGAAATCGGGTCTGCACCAATCAGATTCTGGTGCAGACCTGTCTGAATATCGTGATCAACATGAGGCGAAAAGTAGACAAAATCTCTCACTACCCAACAGAAAGATATTTCCAACTACAGATGCCATGATCGAACACGATATGCTGACTGAGTGTAAGTATCTATGAGATAATCACATCGTCAAGAATGTCAAAGTATCGCCTTATTATGTAGAATTTGAATATAATTATATGATTCAATCTGTAGAAAGAAAGAAAAAAGAATCTTAATGTTTTTACGTTACTTATATTAGGTGACAAGGAATTAGTAGCACAAAGTTTAGCAACCAATACCGCAAGCAACGCGCACAACGAAGATAACTCTTTTACGGAATATAATTATGCTCCTTACATTAATTCCTATTCCGCGTATCATGGAAGTGACGAAACCGAAATGCACAAGGCGTGGTTGCATTTTTGGACGGAAAACGGAGAACGAATAATCTGGACATCGTGGATTAAAAAGTATGCGGATTACATCAATCCTGATTATTTTCAGAGTAACACGGCGGAAGAAGATGAGAAGCCGCAAAGTGCAGAATCTAATGAAGCAGCTGTAGAGAAATGTCACGAGCATGATACGTGCAGTCCGAGCGAAGCGTGCAGGAGCTGTGGACTTGTACCTTCAACCGGAATTTTGCGTAAAGACGATTCGAGCGACGATCGTATGCTTGAAGAATTGCCGCAAGATGAGACTATCGGAGAAGGCTGGAACCCTCTGAGTCAACAAAGTATAGAAGAAAACTATCAGTATTCTAATGCAGAAGACGAAAGACTGTTAACGAGGTGCGATTCCATTAATGGTTCAATAGCGAAAACGAATGTTACTTCCGATTCCATGACAAATGTGACGAAAATGACGCTAACTAGTTCCAGTTACGATTCATCCTCCTCCTTTTCTTCTTCCTGTTCTTCCTCTTCGTCTCTCTCCTTGAATCTCGACATTTTCTTCGAGAATTCCGCACAGGAGAGCGACACGACCGGTACTTCCGATCCTGAAGACAATTTTCAGGGAGAACACGATAAAAACTGGCAGAAACTGTGGTGGCAGCATTTCGAGTTGCAGTATCGGCAGCAGTACGAACTTTTCGTATCGAGTTATACGAAAGCGCACAGAGTAGATCACGCACTGACTGACGAGGACATCGAATACGATACCGAGGCTGATTTAAGTGACGATACGACACAAATCAATAAATCTTCGCCGAACAAAGTTCGTTTGTCGAAAAATGGTAAAACATCCAGGAATACACGACCTTCGACAACGCATAAGCGTAAAACAGAAAACCTGATTTTGAATTCCGTGGGTGCTCTCCTGAAGAATCTAGCAGTGGATCCAGGCACGTCCGCTACGTCAAGTTCATTTGCTGACGAGGAACACCAAAAAACTCCAGACGAGCTTCCTGCACACCATTTACCTCTCGTGTCCTGCCAAAGGCGAAGGTAAGTAATTTATCCAAATAAAACGTTACGCTTGGAATATTCTAGGTAGTAGTGACAGTTGCAACCATTCAAAGCCATCCGGAAGAAAATGAGAAAATTTCGCAGCGAAAGCATTCGCGTGGCGTTTTTTTAATATTTCATGCGTGCTACGCAAAAGTAGATAACGATATCTGATATCTTTATCATATGTGTGTGCTATCATAGACACCATCTTCACTTTTCTAACATGTGGTAACTTCATTTGGAAATTTTTTGATATTATATACCTTCGAGAATAAAAGTTAGAAAGCGCAAATAATCCTCGCATGAGCATGTTTTTTTATTCAGCGTCATCTGGAAAATGTATAGCAACATTTTTCCTTTCCTTTTTAGCCAGCGACAGAAGAGAGGTTTCCAAAGACGAAATGATGTATCATTGGAGAAATATTTCTTCAGTTCCGAAGATTCTGTGGACTGGTATGATGATATTATTTTCCTCAAACGAAATATCATCTGGAAAGCAATAAAATCGGCGAAACGAAGAAGTGAACGGTCGTCGGAACGGTGCTGCAGCGATACCGACGCAATCTTACAAAATAAGGTAAATTTTGGTTATTTTAATCGTTATCATAAAGAAAGACATTGAAAATATGTAATACGAGCGACTCCGGTATAACATTGATTTTTAGATAACAGAAATTTTAACTCGGTTTGCAAATATTGTCAATTTATCATCTATCCGTTGTTACAGCAACAAGCTAATTTTTTACTCAATAATAGACCTGCCCTAACGGGACGATAACTTTAAAATCCTGACTATAAAAGAATTTCACGTATCTTACATGTTCTTCATTCAAGGATCCTAAGTACTTGTTGCGACACCAAATATCGGAACCTTTAATCTACGATAAGATGCACGTCGATAAACGTTCCAGTACAAGTACTTATCTTGAAACCGACATTGATGGCGATCCGGATTTCACTAAAATGATAAACAATGAACATACCTGTACATGCTGCTTTCCATCCGAAACGGACGATCAGATTGATGGCGACGATGATGAAGAAATTATTGCTCATGAACTTACGGAATTGGATTATCCTGATGAAGCAACGAACGATTGGAGCAACGAAGAGGGATTTTGGGGACGTAAAAAATCAAAAAAAGGCAAATGTACAATTTGTATTTCGGACTTGCCACAAGAAATGCGAGAAGATTCCAGTCTTCGAAAGTATTGGTTTAAACGATATGAACTGTTTCATAAATATGATGAAGGGATTCAATTAGACATAGGTATAGATTATTGATTTATCTCTGAGGAAATGAGGAAGATAAATATTCTGTACGAATAACATATAAATGTATAATGGTAATTTTTTTTTTTTTTTTTTTTTACAGAGAGCTGGTATTCTGTAACACCGGAGCGCATCGCCATACAAATAGCGAGGCGATGTAAATGCGACGTCATCATTGACGCTTTTTGCGGTGCAGGTGGAAACGCCATACAGTTTGGGTTCACGTGTAATAAAGGTACTTATATCCGTCACACATGTTTATATTACACTGTTTCAAACATTTCTGTGTAAATGAATTTGCAAAAATATATATAATTATTTTATACGTATTATATGTGTTATATATATTATATGTAATGTTTTACTGATTTTTCCTTTACAGTGATTGCAATTGACATAGATCCCGAGAAAATCGCCTGCGCCAGAAACAACGCAAGAATTTATGAGGTTGAGAACAAAATCGAGTTTATAGTCGGCGATTTTTTTAAGTTGGCCGGTAAGTTGAAAGCCGACGTAGTGTTTTTAAGCCCACCTTGGGGTGGCCCAGAGTATTGGAAGGAACCAGTATTCGATATGAATTCTCTTTTGCCTATCAATGGAAAAGCTATCTACAAAGCAGCCCGGCAAATATCAACATCTGTGGCCTATTATCTACCTAGGAATGTAAATATTAGGCAGGTAAGAAATATTGTTTTTATGTTTGTACTTATATACTGGGGCATGTAAATATAGATATTTTCTGGGGCACCTGTTATAATTGTAAATAAAATTATCAGGCGAGGATGTTAGCCAAGAAAGGGCAAAATATTGAAACGGAACAATATTTTGAACAAAATAAAGCAATTGCTTTAACCTGTTATTTTGGTGGATTGGTTACGACAGAAAACGAAAAATCTGATATATAGAATTTGAAGAGCAAGAGAACAGAAGTTACAAATACAACTGTAAGTCTTTCCTTGAAGATGATGTAATAATAAAATAATATAATGTAATAATATAATAACAATGTGAAATTTTAATAAATAAATGAGAAAAGAGACCTGTTGCACCACATTATTTATTTGTTTCGTCCCGTTTTTCAAGCGCTTCATGCTTTCATATTTCATAATACCATAATCATATCTTATATATAGTTTAAAGAAAACTAAACTTGATTTGCTTATGAAAAAATACACAAACTTTTGGTATTTAGTTATAGAAAAGTGTACAAAGCAATTGCTCCGATGAATAAAGATGTCGAAGGAAGAAATGTCTAAAGAAATTGAACATCGTCTTACTAGATTCTAAATTATATGATGTTGAGTCAAAAGTAATATTTACACGTTAACAATATTTATGTTTCCTTTGTATATAAGGTTACCATACTAATAGTTTCTTTTTAGGGCAGGTTCCATTCAACGATTGTATCATTCAGTTTTGATATCCAGGAGATACAAAGATATTAAGAGGTTTCATTGAAAGCCGCTGTTTTTTGTGTTTTCTGAGCATTTGTTTCAATAACAAAATGTGTGAATACATCAATCGAAATATCTGCCCTCGGAAACTATGACTTTCTCCCACTTTTCTGACAGAAGTTGAATTCCGCGACGAAAGAATGGTCTGTCTTTCGAGCCAATCCATTCAGCAACCCAATTTTCGACTTCTCCGTAAAAATGGAAGTGTTCATCTTCCAGAGCGTGTCGCATCGATGGAAACAGATGGTAATCGCTTGGAGCCAAGTCTGGAGAATACGCTGGGTGCGGGAGAACCTCCCATTTTAGCTCCATCAGTGTTTGTTTCACGGCTATAGCAACGTGGGGCCGAGCGTTGTCATGGAGAAGAATCACTTTTCGGCGATTATTAATGCAATTGATGGTTGTTTTTGCATCAAATTATCATTCAAATGCTCCATTTGTTGTCGATAATGTTCGTTGGTGACTATTTCGTTCGGTTTCAACAGCTCATAATATACAACACCCTCCATATCCCATCAAATAAAAAGCATTACTTTGTGACCGTGGATGTTTCGCTTTGGAGTTGTTGATGATTGGCCAGAATCAACCCATGATTTTTGCGTTTCGAATCGTCGAAATAAATCCATTTTTCACCACCGGTCACGATACGCCACAAGAAACTTCTTTTTACGCCTTGCAAGCAAAGAAATCGAGATGTTTAAACGATTGGCAACGGCATTTTCGGTCAATTCATGTCGCAGCCATCTTCCTTCTTTCTAGATCTTTCCCATGGCTTGTAAATCGTGAAATGGTTGATTTATCGACTTTGAGCTGGTGAGCCAATTCTTTGAGTGTTTGAGCAGGATTTTCTTCCAATAAAGCTTGCAGTTGTTTATCTTCGAACTTTTTTGATTGACCTGGTCGTTTGAGGTGAACGTCACAATCACCACTTTTGAATCGTCGAAATCAATCTCTACACACTGTTTCCGATGGTGCAGATTCAGCATAAATTTCCGCAAGCAATCGATGAGTTTCAGCTGCACTATTTTTCAAATCAAAGTAGTGTAGAAGTACATATCGGAAAAACAATTTATCGCGTTCCATTTTAATTCGGTTATAGAAAAGCACATATGCAAAGGATGGTGTCTGTTGACTGGATTTTAGTGGGAAATGCTCACACTTTAAAATGACATAAGTAACAGATGCCTTTGAATACGCTAGAGCCATCTAGACGTGAACAGCAGCTTTCAATGCAACTTCCTAATAGAATGATCCTCGCGATCGTTGCAAGTGTTAAGTGAAAGCTGCACGTTAATATCTAATGGCTTTCAACATTTAACGATAAAAATGATCATACCGATTAAAGGGTAAATAAATTATTATATATCAAGCAATGTAATTGTCGTTAAAACTGATTTTAATAATTTTTTCGTGAAAATAATTGACATATTGTGTACATAAGAAATTTAGGTTATTTGAGACCTATATTGAACTACATAACAAACTGGAATAGGCATTACCTTTGTTTCTGCCAGATGACGACTTCAGGCCGAGAAAGACAATATTGAAATAGAATCCCCGTCTTTATTTGTGACGTGTTACCTGAGTCTATATATTGTAAAAACTTAGGAGCAAATTGATTATATGGCATATTAATAAACAGGGTGATATTCTATTATACAGCTTTCATCTTATAGAACTGTCTTACAGAACACAGCTTACCTCATCAGTGCTTGTTCCAGTTTACTGTATAATTCAATATGCGAAGACAATGTTCGAACTTTTGTTTCAAGTTTGTATGTGAATCAGATGTTGTTACGCTTGTATTTATTTTTTTTTATTACCTCATTATTTTTATTATTACCTCAACATTATTTTGTTGGACCAAAGGGAATATTTGTAATCATGTATCTTTCACACAAATAAAATTTTCTTAATTTCAGAGATGGAGTCACAGAAGAATGGGCTATTATAGATCTGCAGGGTGATTTAAATTTTGAGAAGGTTGAAAATTCGAATGATCAATTAATTGGGGACATTCATTTCACAAAAACTGGAGTACCTATTTTAATTATTGGAATTCATGTATTACATGGAAAACAGGTAGCGCTTGAAAAGCCTCTGGTTGTGTTAGAGAAACATTGTAATAATACAGGAAATGAGATAATGGAGGAGAAAAGTACAACACAGTACATAGTAAAGGCTATTGTAAAGAAAAAACTCTTGTTTAGAACAAGACCAAAACCCATAGTAACTAATGTTCCAAAACCATGCTAAGATACTTGAAATAAATTTATATTTAAAAAAAACATTTTGTTTATTGATTTATTATATCACATTAATTCGATTAAATTAGTGTAAAATCATTAGATTCGATTACATCTAGTCTTTCATTTCGCCTTCTTCGTCTTCTTCTTCTACTCCTCTTATATACATAACATTGTTACATCTGATTAGTACTTCACCAAGATTTCCAGTGCAAGTACCTTCTATATGCTCCTCGGTGTTTGCAAGTTGCAAATTCATATATCCATCCACCGAGACTAGGTAGCCCTTGTATTCGTGACCCCATTTTAATTTGACCATAACTGGTTTACCAGTCAAACCATTTAAGAATGGTTTGGGATTTATGGGCATTGTTGCAGCCATGGTGAAAATTGGTTATCTATACATAAAACACATTTATAAAATATAATATTATATTTTAGCGGTATACACATATTCTAAGATATATTTTATATTACTTTACAAGAGCTTCATGACATAATAATTCCTTGGAAATTTAATGAATATGTATTAAACTGATATATATATGTATTAAATTGACGAATTAATAGTATTATGTAGCTTAATATTTGAGTATAAAAATAGGTTATTTTTTATAAATGTAAGACATACATTTACTTACTTATTAAAGCGGGACGAGGGAAGTAAATAAGAAATTATTCACTCTTCCTTTAACCTCAAATAATCATAATGTGTTCCAAGCAGATGAAAATTTATATGTATCGTAGCTGTTGGAATTGGTTAGAAGCTGCCAACTGCAAAAGAAAAAGCCCTTGAACTGGTGTATACTGCAGTGATGCCAATAATAGCATCGAGCAGAGACATATAATAACTAGACCGCGCGGTCTTAAAGTTTTCCTTTTTTTGAACACGCCAGAAAGTAGAAAGAGACAGTTGCTGTACGGGTACCATTCCGTCTTTTTCTAAAGACGTATAGTGGGATAAAGAATCCTTTCATAGTGAGGCGAAAATCCCCACTCCATACATTGTGTCCGTCTTTGTCTTATCTTAGCCTACGTAGACGTATAGCATGTTAGTAAGACAAAGAACGAGATATTATTTAGACGTGGCCTTTATCGTATTGCCTCTCTAAAGCCAGTATCCGACTACGGATTTGAGATTGAGATTGAATTGTAATTTGACCAATCAGTACAAAGTTCACTAAATTTCGTTAAATTTGAATTCAGTTAATTTTGCACTGATTGGTCAAATTCAAATCAATCTCAAACATGGCTTCTGCCCACAGAACGCGGCAACGCTTGCTGCGCGGCAAGAAGTGACGCGATAACCAATCAACGTGCCATTCTTCCACAGAACTAAAAGTTTATTAGCTGCTGCGTCGCTTCTTGCCGTGCGATAAGTATTTCCGCGTTCTATAGACTAAGCCATAATTCAGGAAGTTCTTCGAAAAAGAACAGACTTATCGGAACGAAAGGCAAACATGTTATATACAGCTATCTCTGTTAGAACATTATTTAGTGCAAGTTTTATCAGTGTTTAGTATCTAACAGAGTTTATAACAATATTCACAATATGTGTAATAAATTAAAATATCCTCATTAGTAATCTTAACCTAACTTGTGACATCAAAATAATCGTTTCTGTGCATCATTGACAATGAATATTTTACCAAAGAAAAGGTATGAGCAATTTATATTAGAAGTATTATTACATTTATACATATATTCTTTTGTCTGCTTTTCTAATTATCCGCTTTACATTTATTCAGGTGGCATGTTCGAACGAAAGAGAATATCGCTCGTGTACGTCGAGATGAAGCTAAAGCTGCGGAAGAAGAAAAGATTAAACAAGAGCGAATTCAAAAAGCTGTAAGCAATAAATTATTATTCAAAATTTTGATTATACAGAATTTTTTACTCTAAACAAAATTTTACTGTAGAAAAATATATTACTTAACTCATTTTCTTGTTCAGATTGTTTTAACATTATTAATTATAATTCGAATACTTCTCATGTTATTACAGGAAACAGAGGCGAAGGTAAACTTTTTACGGGATCAAGCAAGATCCAAATATGATGGTCGTGAAAAAACCATTGTTAGTAACGTAAAATTGGAGCATGTCAACTTCTTTGCTGACCTAGAAGATGGCAAGATCGACTATAACAGGCCAAATGCTAACCATGAGAGAGAGAAGAAGGAGGAGAAGGAAAAATATGAAAAACAAATCGGTTATTTGACATATCTGGGACAAGATACAAATGAAGCAACAGGAAAGAAGAACTGGTACGAGGAATTACCAAAGAGGCTGGTGGATATGGAGAAGAATGTAGAAATAGAAACAAAGAAAAAAACTTTGATCGATCCAATGGTTGATATAAAGAGGTATCTGACTGTTATGCGTTCTGAATCTGCCAAAGATCAACCAACAGTAAAGACAGAGGCTGTTAAACGAAAATATGATTCTGACAATTCTTATTCTGACCAAGAGAGTCACAGCTCGCACAAGAAACATAAAAAAGATAAGAAACATAAGAAACACAAGAAAGAAAAGTATAAAGAATCGATCAAGAAGGAAACTAAAAGTCAGAGCAATGTAGATATAGAGAAATTGAGGGCAGATAGATTGCTGAGAGAACAAAGCGAAAAACTAAGAACCGAAACACTAATGGCTAAAGTAAGAGGTGACCCAGTGCCTGTTATAGCACCTGTTGTAACTCTTAAACCTGCGATAAAGCAGAAATATAATTCGCAATTCTTTCCTGAAATTGCTAGGCAAAATGTGGAGAGAACACCCAACAAGTATAAATTGACGAATATCGACTCTTGAACTATATTTTTATCGTTTTTGTTTCTGAATGATTTATACTTGTATCATATAATTGTTGCAGTAATATTTCTAGTGTTATGTATTATCTACCAATACGCAAAAAATGTACAAGTATATTATATATATATATATATATATGTGTGTGTATATGTAATATATATATAAATAACAAGCAGAATCTATATTATCATAGAAGTGTGAAACTGTACGTTGTCACGTGACAAGATGGCGTACCATGGCGGATCATATATATAATGTGCTGAAACTCGACATTTACATTTTTCTTCAACATCCGGGCCGTATCATTTAAGAATAGTTGCACTCGTCAGTGGACACAATTCGCTTTCCTACATGTCACCGCTTCGCCGATGATTCACATCCGTTGTTCTGTATGTGAGCACTTGAAAATCTCGTACCAGGACGCTCGCATGCACGAGGTACATGCTCCAGATGCAATTTCGAATTCGAATATCTGCGAATTCGTGTTTTATTTATTTGTTAAACCATGTCTAACCTGAAGACACATCGATCCTGATCTTTGAATTACCGCTTGGAACATAGTTTTATCGTTGGACATCGCAGAGATAACCTTATCGCCTGGTACAAATATCTGAATCTCTCTCTCTTTCTCTCTCTCTCTCTCTCAATTTACCAATGATTCGTTGGATTATTTTGTAATTTTTATCATGAACGCAAAAACAAACGCAGACGTGTCCTATTTGACTTGTCAGATAAATGGAATAAAATATATTTTGCAAACTATACCAGACACAAGTGTAAAAGATGCAATATCTAGCGAAGAGCAAAGTATGGTTGACGTTGTCAAAGAAACTGAACTAATGAAGGAAGAATCATTTTCTTTAGCTTCTTTGGATGGAGAAGTATGGTATGCATTGCAAAATGGAATGTTTCAAGAACTGAACATCAATCCATTTGTCGATCAGGAGAATTATCATGAAAAAACACTCTTAGTGCCAAAAGATATGGAAAGTTGCGGGGACGAATACATCAGCAATGAAAACATAATATTTGAAGATGCAAATGAACAAGCTGAGGAACAATATGAAGTTGTTACGGATAATTCAGAAAAGGACTTCCTTGTAGGAAAAGACAACGTTAATGCTAATGACTTTGTGGAAGTTGTGACTGCTTTCAAATGCAAAATATGTACTTACACAACTCAAGATAAGATGCAGCTATTAGACCACTTTCAAAACGCACACATAAATCCTACTGTAGATATTGAGGTAAGTAATATTTATATTTAAGTTAAAATTGATAATTATTGGTAAAGAGATTTTATGATTTGCTTATTTAAAATTTGCGATATGATATAAATTATATATATTCTGTTGTTGCATATTATATAGCCAAAAGAAGAATCTAAAAATACAAGTGAATCGAAATTAGTTTACATGTGTGGGGAATGTTCTAACTATTATTCTTCTATTGAGAGCTGCAGAGAGCATATGATTGAAGTAATTACCTTATATTTTATTTTCTAAAGTATGTGAATTGCTTCTGTATGAATAATATAATAAAATGCATTGTTCTCAGGATCATCAACTAACGGATACTGTATGTCAACTTACTGAAAATAAATCTGAAAAAGGAAATTTGACAGATCTAACAAGCTCCGCTTTGGTTACCGAACATGTAGAAGAACGTGACGAGAGCGACGAAGTAAAGCATGAAGTAAAAATATCAAAAACCTTAAGCTCGGAATACATACTCAACAAAAAGATGATCGAATTGACGGAAAGAACTGTAAAGTATGTAATTTTATTAAAGGAAAACATGTCTTTATATAGAAAATTGTATATAAATTGTATATGTATACATATCCTATTTATTTGATTAAAATGGCATATATTTTTCACAAGATGTGAGTATCGTGGTTGCCCATATAAATTTCCCTCGGAAGAAATCATGCAGCAGCATGTCTTATGCCATATAGAATCTCAAACTGTGACGGCATTCAAGTGTAGCGTTTGTCGTGATACAAAGTTTACAAAATGGCGCCAGTGTAGCTTACATTTGTGGAAGAAGCATGGTATTGGTATGTATATAATAAATGAGATGAAGTTTTTTTTTTAGATAAGTTTTTTAGATAAGTCCTCGGATAAATGCGTATTGAAAATTACTTTTTTTTTTTCCAGACATAGGTTTGTTCACCTGTAAAATATGTAAAGCTTACAAAAGCGCTACCATGGTAAAACTCTTAACGCACATGAGGGTACACAGTGAGACTCGGGAGTACGAGTGTTCTGAATGTGGCAAGTGTTTCAAGCAAGCCAGTCAATTGCGCAATCATCGTGTAATGCATTTAGATCGTAAAACACTAGAAGTAACGCGATGGTACACTTCTAAGAAATGCGACACGTGCGGCAAGACGTATGCAAATTCAAAATGTTTGAAGAATCACATTCAAGCTGTGCATTCAAAATTACGGCCGTACGTTTGTAACGTTTGCGGGCATGCTAGCGCGAGAAAAGCGATGTTACAAATGCATTACCGTCAACACACAGGAGACAAACCCTTCAGTTGCGAGATTTGCGAGTATAAAACTGGAGATCACAATACCTTACGGCGACATATTATGCAACATACTGGTGAATATTACATGTAAAATGCATTAATAGTTATGTATGTGTGTATATATGTAGGAAGAACTGCAAATACAATTTTCTATTACAGGTTTCAGACCTTATAAGTGTCCACATTGTTCGTATACTGCGATACAGAGCAGTAGTTATAAAAATCACTTAAAATCCAGGCATCCCTTGCTGTCTGGTTTATTCACATGCGAGTTATGTCCTTTTAAGACAGTAAAGAATGAGAGTTATATTCAGCATTTAAAAGATCATGAAAAGGGTTTGATCAAACATAATGTACAGAAGAAAGGTAATATACAAGTCCTTACCAAACTGCTCACTGTAAATTGGCAAATATTTTTTAATCTGTTTCTTCTATCGCCTTGCAGACAGTGAAAATGTCGAAGTGTTTCCCGGCAATATCGCAGCGGCGCAATTGATTTATAGTTGTTTAGGCGCTTTCTCGAAAGTCGGAGATACATTAGAAGCTAATTTGATGTCTTCCTCAACATCCGCTGATGGCACTTCACAAACAATCACGATACAAATACCGTCGAAACATCTTGAAGGTTCACTGCCAACCAGAGAAACTATGTACAAAAGTAATTCTACGATCGAGCAAGACGATGACGAGACGATGCATTGCTTCTTAAAAATCCCTAGAGAAGAGGAAGAGAGCATAGATACTGGTGGCATAACGATACCCGCAGAACCCGAAGAAGCGAGCGTGACCATTGACGTTGACACATGAAATGTACAATCATTATAAACTATTAAATTTACCTTTGATATGTCCAAGAAGAGTGATTTAATGTTCCAGTGATATGTTTGGATGATAAATGAAGGGAAAAAACTACAAAATGTCTAGAATGTCTTGGTTTTAGTATTTAGTTGTTATTTCAATATTTTATTATATTTAGTTGCTTCCTAAAATAAGGAAGAATAGAATTTCCTTTCTTTGTTCCCCTCACTGCAGTCTTCTTGGTTGATGGCATTAATATTATATTCTCTCTCTCTCTCTCTCTCTGAACAGAGTTCAATGTGACGAATTCTATCATCTTGTTCAATAACGTGTGAAGCAACCAGTGGACTACGGAAGCCTCCTTTTGTGGAAACAAGATGGCGACTTTCGCTATATTGAACTCTAGTGTCGCTTCTATTTCCGAGATCATAATAGATATAAGCTGCTTTCGAGCGGCATAAATTAGTTAGCTAATTGTTGTTTATATACTTATTTTAGAACCAAATTATTTGTGATATAATGTTTCTAAAAGAAGAAATAAAACTTTTATAGGGTTTTAATATAGCAGTAACATATGCACGTGCAGACAATGGAAGTGAGAAGTTTCGTATTATTTTTTATGCTTGCATTGGGACTGCAGTAAAATCTTTAGTAGCACACTTCATTGGCATTACATTAGTCAGTGTTGAGCCAATGAAACGTCAATAAAATTACTTTGGCGTTGAAATGTACTACTAGGGATTGAATTGAACTGAACTGGTGCAAACCAGAACGAATGTAAGTATGCAACTAAAGAATAAAAATGCTTCAATGCAAGAATAATATAGCGTGCTACGTTTTAATTGTAGAATTAAGATAGCCACGGCGAAACTTTTATATGGTTGCAACAACTACATATTTGTTTCTTTACAATTTTCCATTAGAATTCTATTTAAATTTATATTTCTATAAGTCCTATTTTGATTATTCACCCAACAAAATTATTCTTCTTCTTTTTTATATTAGTTACATCGGCAAAATGTTAACTTTAAACAAAAGCCATAAAAAATTACTATCAGGAGAAGACAAAACTTTGGTTTGCACAATAACAAATCGATTTTATTTTAGATATAAATATACAAGAGACATGATAAGTGAAAATAAATCAATCTGGCATAAGTGAAAATATAAAAATCTGGCATGGTGTCGGCAAAATGGTGTACTGCTGTGCTCGATCTCTCGGTGGTCGGCGTGTCGGAGCAGTGGGGCGCCGAGAGAGATTTGGTTGGACGTAAGGTATCAAATCAGCCTCTCGTAACGTTAAGCGCATCGTCACAACATTATGCAGCAGGTATGTTCTCCGTCTAATTATCCGGGCTTTTCATAACTAGTCCACCGTAGTAACAGGTCACTGCAATTTCTTTATCCCCTTCAAGATATTTCTCAATCTCCATCAGGTCTCCTTCTTTGGCTAGCGCCCTTATCTGTGATTTTATTTTCAATTATGTTTAAAAACAATATCCGAGAAAATGATTATTATATTTACACGATTATATAAGTATAAATGTAAAAACAGATCTATCCCTTACCTGTCCGACGTTTATATTCTTAGGTAGATAATAGGCTATAGATGACGATATTTGGCGGGCTTTTTTGTAGATCAATTTTCCACTGACAGGCAAAATAGAATTAATATCGAATATTTGATGCTTTGAATAATCTGGGCCACCCCAAGGTGGACTTAGGAACACCACGTCGGCTTTTAAGGCGGGGGCCATCTTAAGAAAATCGCCGACCACGAATGTAATATTGTCTTCAACGCCATTGACTCTCGCGTTGTTTCTGGCCAATTCGATCTTTTCAGGATTGATATCGATTGCCATCACTGTAAAGCAAAATTAAAGAGATGTAGTTTGCAAAATGAAGCAAAGAGTCAGGGTTTTAAGTGACGACGGATAGAGTGACGATCGATCAACAAGTCGGAAATAACACATTATTTGTAACGCTATTAACTTAACAAGTTACTTTTTTTCAATAACAACTTAGTGACGACACTATTTTCTTTTACTAATAACGTAAGTTATATTTTTTTTAATGTGACGCTAATGAATATAATTATTACCTTCCTCGTTCCTTTGCATACATAGAATATGTATATAACATGAGTATCGTATTATAAAAACAGATCTTCAGAACTTAATGAAAAAATGGAAATATAACGAAATTGTAACAACTCGTTACCTTTTAAATATTCAGTAAACACCAAGTAGTAGTATCATTATATCAACGTTATAACTTCTGACTCAATAATGTGACTGTCACACAACTTATGTTATATTGCACTTTCATTATTGCGTGGGAAATTAAACATTGATGTTGTTGTTAGTTGGTGTTTATTGGATAATAACAACACGGTGGTGAGTTACTATTACCTAAAAGTAATTTTCCTAAATCTGTAATCAATATAACTAATATAACGTAAGCATATGCAACAGATATACGTACCTGTCTTACACATGGATGCAAATTGGATAGTATTCCCACCTGCACCGCAAAAGGCATCAATAATGATATTGCATTTACATCGTCTTGCTATTTGTTTGGCGATGCGTTCTGGTGTTACGGAATACCAACTCTCTATAAGAGAAATACATTGTTATTATACTTCTATATGTTATATCGCAGATAATATTTATTTTCTTTCTCATTTCACGGATATATAAAAAATGTACCTCTGTCTAATTTGATTCCTCCATCGAACAGATGGAAAAGCTCGTATCGGTTTTGCCAATATTTTACAAGATGGCGATCTTCTTGTATCTCTTTTGGCAGGTCTGAATAGTTGCTTACTGTTTTTATCTTTTTGGATTTTCTACATTTTTTAAGCGCCGCATGGCTGATATTATTCTCATGAACATCCAGTTCTGTAAGTTTACTAAAAATGATTTGATCGTTACGTAATTCGAATTCGTCGTCTTCCAAATCCGATGAAGACGAGTCATTGTTACCGTAATGGTTATTTATCTTTCTGAAACTGAAGTCGTCATATACTTCTACATCTAGACTATTACACGAAATGCAACGTCCCTTGCCGAGCGAGTTGTCACTGTGTACAAATTCCGAATTTTCTTCTTCCAAATCTATGAAATCCTATAAACAAAAAGAATAATGCGCAAAATATATGACACATTTTCTATATATAGTCAAGCCTTGAAAGTTATAGTTTTTCTTGCTAGTATCTTATTATAAAAAAATCTCATTATGAAAAAAGCAATTTTTGAACGACGACGAATAAAGTGATAATCGATCGACAACATTCGCAATCTGGAAATATAACAAATTCTGTTATTTAAAATCCAATTTTACCGTATTTGACGATTTCTTATCATCGATGGAGCACGGTTTGGACAATCGCCTTCTCTTTGGTTTCTCCCTCTTTTCTTCTCTCCATACGACGTTATGTTTCTTGAAAATAATTTCATCAAGTAAAGGTTCGCCTTTTTTGAAGACAAGTTCTTGTAAGGACACATTACTGTGTTTTTTGGAACTCTCCTGGCCATTCTTCTTTCCCTGGCCTTTCTTCATTTGATAACTAATAGAAAGAGGGAAAAAAGGGAAGTGTTACTATATAATAAAAAAAGTCGACAGCTTCCTTTAATGAAAAGAAGCGAATTCGCAAACCCTGAGAATTCTCCCGGAATGGGTTTCTAACCTTGAAGGGCGACTTTTAAACTCCGCTACGTCATAAAACACAGAAATAGATGACTTGGAAACCTTTTTTAATCTTAATATCCTTTCAGATTCTTCTCTTCCATTTTCTTGTGACTTTCTAAAAAATATATAGAGTAGCAAAAACTCGTGATTTTCATTTCACAGAGAAATTCTCCGAAGGATTGTTCTTTGAAGATAAATTTTCCTTAGCGAAGATGCCATGGAAACTATTTTTTATAGCGACTCTCCAATTTTTAATATATCTTCATAGCTAAACCACGAATTAATCTATTAAAATAAAGCTCATTTAAAATTGATCGCAAAAAATGATTCTGTTAAATATATATTTTGTACAGAATAATATTGAATGAAATATATACTCCTGCGAGGATTATTCGCGCTGCCGAACATTTATTTTTGTAAGTGCACAATATCAAAGGATTCCTGGATATTATCGCATATTAGAAAAGTAGCGATATCTTTTAGTAGCATCTCTTTCTTTCTCTCATATGTATTATGTATTATTATCTATTTTTATATTACGTGCGCAAAACTTTAGAAAATGTTTTAGAAAAATTATTTTTCTCTAATATTCATTAAAATTTTTGTCTTTTCTTTTCTTTTAAGTGATTCTAAGGGTTGAAATCTTTGCGCCTACTTTAATTAGTAGGGGAATGTGATAACTTTTGCGCTACACGCGTAAAACGTTAGGAAACGTTTTAGACAAATTTTTTTTTTTTGACATTCATCAACAATTTTCGTCTTTTCTTCTATATGACTTTATGTATTTCTACTAGGATAACTGCATCGTCTAGTTTGTTCTCATGCGGGAAAATCTGTTCGACCGGCTTCTGGGACAGAATGTCCGATACTTTTAATGAATTCTTTAGCGAATAAGTAGCATTTCGGATGAGCCTTAAATTGGGAAGATGGCACGATACTCCCTACGCGAATAAATCTTTCGGCATGACCGTTGGCAAATTCCGACCGATACGCTACTTATTCGCTAGAGAATTATTTTGTGCTTTCGAAAAAGATAAGATTAAAGTATATGATTGGCTTTGCTAATATTCAATCAGACAAAAGAGAAAAAGATAATAATAAGAGCCTATGCACGGATTCTGAAGGGAACCAGAATTGTCAAGAATGAGATCTGTATACGAATGAAGATGAATTTATTCTCGTATTGCATGCACAGCAGGATTGACGATTTTTTTTGTTCAATATACTTACAATTGTCGTCGATGAGGTGGGATGTATATGCAATTTATACATTGGCCTACTCTTTCATTATCTTGTTGATCCTCCTCGGCATTAGATCTTGATGCAGAACTATTGTATTCACTCATTGTAAAACTGATCAATAAGGCACGCTCGAAATTGAAAATCGCGCTAGCGAAAATTTTTAAGATATCGAAATTGGTTTACGGCTAAGATGTCAACAGCTCAAGAGCTCAAGTCGCTCTGAAATTCCATGACAAACTTCTGTGTCTATAAAGATTTTCCTACTACCTGAACTTTTATCTATTTTTTGGGCGGCCCTAAGCGAAAAAGGGTCGTTCAAGGATCTGAAGAAGGGAGCAAGAAAAGGCCCAATTGCAAGAAGGGACGGGGGTGGGGAGAGGAAGAGAGAGAAAGAGAGAAAGAGATAGCTGGACCTACGTTGCGTTATTTTTACAATATTTTTCATGGTATCGAAAGATACTTTCGTTTACGTAATAGTACAATCGTTGACGGAATCGCATTTCATTAATAATGGCTTATTATTTGCATCACAGTACATAGATTATATAGCTTTCATGCACCTCAGATCAGAGAGTTTGACTCCAGTCTTACCCTTCGGCAACATAATCGCTTAGGGTAGGCACACTCCCTTCCCTTGTTCATTGGAAACTTCCACTTCCATTTCCTTAGCTCCGTTAGCCGAATTGAGAGCCATTGGAAGAATTTGCGAATGAGCTCTTTGTGCCTGTCTGTCTAATGATTTTCTTTTTATTCGATTATACCCAAGAATATATAATCAGAAAATAAAATGTAAAATAAGGTGATCGAAGATAATTTGTTTTTCGAAAGTTGAATTGCTACGAAAAATTAGTATCTTATATTTTCCGATCTATCAGTATCTATTAATATCTATCAGATCTATCAGTATTTATCAGTATCTATCAGATCTATTGGTATCTACCAGATCTATCAATAAAAAAATTATCGTTTGACCTTTTCGGTCTCGATTCTTTTTTCCTACGAAGTTAAACAACGCTAATTCAAAATAAGTTTTTGAACGGTGGGACATATATAATCGAACGCGATTGAAAAAATTAAAGCTTTGATTCTTCACCGTGGTCATCTTGATTAATATCAAAAATGCGAGGAAATATACGCTCAATATTTCCACAAAGTACATTGAAATAGAAAGAATATTGTTGTGAAAGAATCGCAGGAAACCCAGATTTTTCGCGAAATTAATTTCGGACAACTAAATGGACAACAGAATCATTTTTTGCGATCAATTTTAAATGAGCTTTATTTCAATAGATTAATTCGTGGTTTAGCTATGGAGATATGTTAAAAATTGACGAGACGCTATAAATAATGGTTTCTATGGCATCTTCGTTGAGGAAAATTTATCTTCAAAGGACAATTGTTCCAAGAACCTTCAGAGAATTTCTCTGTGAAATGAAAATCACGAGTTTTTGCTACTTTATATACTTTTCAGAAAGTCACAATGGAAGAGAAGAATCTGAAAGGATATTAGGATCAGAAAAAATTTTCAAATCATCTATTTCTGTGTTTTATGACGTAGCGGAGTTTAAAAGTCATCCTTCAAAATTAGAAACCCATTCCGGGAGAATTCTCGGGGCTTGCGAATTCGCTTCTTTTCATGAAAGGAAACTGTCAACTTTTTTTTATTTTGTTCTCAGTCGAGCCTGTGTAAGAAAATTTTTTGTGACAATTTTTTTTTTTAAAGATTTATGTGTTATTGAAAAATTGACAAATGACGCAAACGTACAAATAAGCTCCTTCGGTACGTTGAGAATGTTACTATGTGTCGTTGAATGAATTCAGCACTATTACCGTTTTTGTAGGCGTACTTGTAGGCACTTACAAAGAACACCTACGATTTTTTTAAATTCAGATTTGTCAATTAAAAGAGATTAGCGAAAGAATATTCATAATAGAATAGGCAATAGAAAATGTCGGCTGGGCAATAGGCAAAAGAAAATGTCGGCTGGGAACGAGAAGCGTGAACAAGGTATGGCGGAGACTATGGTGGCACATGGGTGTTGCCAGGGTTTCAGTCAGAAGCAGGGGATGGAGGCAAATATTTATCTTATTATTATTAATTTTACTTCGTGGCACACATATATATATGATACTTGAATATTTGTAAAATTACAAAATTCGAGGATTCGTACGAAAAGAACATTTCCAGAAATTCTTGCTGTGATATTGTTTATATTTATAAAGTTCCTGCAAAATAAATGAATTAAGATGATCAAAATACGGTAATATTATTTAAAAATTTTGAAAATAAAAATAAAAATGATTAATAATAAATAAATATGGTATTGATTCATACGATCTTTTTGTAGAGATTGTGTAAAAATAAATTGAAAATTGAGGATGTTTGTACATAAATGACTGCGCGCCAGTTTAACGTTGTACATATCTTTATTTTATTTCCAATTCTCTTCACATGGAAGTAAATACATTGGACGTAAATCACAGCACATCTCCGCCTTGAATAAATACTCATGCGCTCGCTGTGGTAGTATATACACGTGAAAATATAAATAAACAGTTGCGCTTGTTGTCGAGCATATATCTCTTCCGAGATGTCACGTATAATTATTCGAGATATATTTGGAAACGAGATTCGTTCGAATACGCGTTCGGTTTCGCAAATGCAATTTATCAACTTGATCTTATGTACACATGCACAGGATGGCATAATAGACTTAACATGCGCGCCACTAAGTGATTAGGATTTTCTGATTGTACGCACTATTCATTTATTATTTATTGATTGCTCGAAGAAGTGTGAACGACGTGTTAAATCAGTAACTTATCCTTGTGGTAATTTAAACATTTACATTAATGTCAATCCACTAAAACGAATATGTATATGTTAAGACTATTATGTCGATCTGAGAATGATCGGTAACACCACATTCAGCGTATCAGTTTGTTTCTGTAATATTCATGAAACACATCTTCTCGCTAATACGATTAATAATATGGTCCAGTTTTATTTATTTTTTTTGTTAAGAATCGATCAATCCCGTGTGTCAGGATATCTTCTCGTGAATGCGAGCGAATTGAAAGAACCAATGCACTCGATCGTGTACAGAGAGCTAAATCTTCAATTTTACCTTTATCCGCCGAATTGGACGTAAAGATTTGGCGATGACTAGAGTATTACAAAATGTGACACACGTTGATGTATAAAATAGGTATAAAAACGATTAGAAATCGTCAAGATGAGATCTCGATTAGACGTTAATTTATACGGATTCAATGCTCGATCGTTCCTTTTGCGCGATAAGACGAAATGAAGTGGTTGGCATCGGAGATCTTGCGCGAAGACTTCGCAAGAATTTTTCTCTCTTATAACACTTTACATCGGGATTCGAGGGTACCTATGTATGTATGTGTGTATATATATATAGTGGCGTTTATATAGATATACAATAATCTTAAATAACATAACTATCTCTTTGATTATCTATCGATGCGTCAATCGAATATTAGGCGTTGAAGCTTACGGAAAATGCGCTAAGGCAATATATCACTTGTGAACTAAAATACGCGTAACTTGTGTACGTAATGTAATACACGCGTGTTTGATACGCGTGTGCCTGTGTATGTGCGTGCGTATGTGTATGTGTGCGCGTGTGAATGCGTATGTTTATTTATATATATGTACAAAGATTTCCATACGAAATATCCTCTAAGAATAGTACAAAATATTTTTGAGGAAGATAGCTCCGCGATGACTATCAGAAATAGGAAAGCGATACTTTCATTCGTGCTATTCTAGATAATTACGCTTGTTACCTGCTACGAGCTCCTAGATACTTATAATTCTGTATTCAAAAGGTTTGGTAATCATTTTGCGTGAAACATGATAAAGTCACTAAGGAGACGATGTGACGTTCTCTTTGCGCATCGTTAGACGAAGACGACGCGCAGCGTGGCGCGTGAATGCGTGATCTCGACAGATCATTTCTCCGTTATAAAAAAGCGTTGGCATCTAAAGTTAGTAATTTTTAACTTATTTCTAATAATCTTAATTTCAGATCGTGTCTCTCCCTATTATTAATGTTCGAAGTATGGCATCGATACGGCTTGTATCTTGATGTTATGTAAATGTTACGTAAAATGTCAAATAAAAATTCATAAAATGCGAAAACTGTCTTCAAGAAATAATTTAATCGGAATCTAGGCAGCACAACGTTCTGAAAGATATTTCAAGGACTTCCAAAAGATTCTGCCTTTTAGAATTCTGTGCTGTCTGGTAATAATTTAATAAGAACGTTTTAATTTGCCAAGAGAGATGAGACGAGATGAAACGAGATATAAGCGAAGAGTCGATTACGCAGATTCACTCGAAATCTCGACGACATGAGAGATTAGTCGCAAAGACAGATTTCGTCGCGTCGATGTGAAACAATTCTATCGAGGACATTCCCTTTCTCAAGTAACATAAATACTAGACGGGCGAAACCGGTTGCGGGCTTAATGACAAACTATCTCGACGGACGGATATATTTCACAAAAGCGAGAAGTTATGCTGAAAGCTTCGAAGCGAACTACACGTATGAATGTTTAATTGTATCGTCTACAATACTTTCGTAAAAATTGCCTATAGCATAGCGTCGCGCTATTGCTAGCGTTATTCGTGGTGCTTCGATTAAAAGGGCTACAGTGCCGAAAAGTGACAGCAAGTACATGTGTGTCCTCGCTTTGCGAGGATCATATCGTCGGTTATGCTCCGTGGGCGAGTAGAGCACGGGTTTGATTATTTAAGAACTAGAAATTTTTGATGACAGTTTCGAAGGAACATTGAATATCTTCGTAAGTTGTAATCAATATACATACCATGGGACAACGATTAAGTTTTAACCTACATAACGGCGTCGGTTTTGTATTGAACTCTACCTTCCGCTACACACTCCTGGATCACAGTAATACTAACGTATCTCTATTTTCTCTGGATGGATCCTTCATCCACACGATAGTGTTCCAGTGTAAAATTAGTGGAGGAGAGGAGGCGACAGGGATGATAACATTTTTTTTACGTGTCGATGTTATTTACAGAGTATAACAATTAATGAAGCACACTCTAAAGTGTGCGTATATTATTATTATTATTAATGATTAACATACGGTTTCGTTGACTCATGAAAAACTGTGTATTTACAACAACACCGACGCCGAGCACGATGACAACGACGTCGATGCATAATACCACTTTGTGAACAACCAACAGTATTATTTTCAATATATGCACAATTTCAAATTTTTGCAATTACCAGAACGATCTCCTATAACACTCGCGGATTGGATCTTTGTTTCGTCTTTTATTTTAATAAAATATCGTATATAGAGACGCTATGTATTCGTAGAGAGAGAGAGAGAGAGAGAGAGGGGGAGAGAGAGAGAGAGAGAGANAGAGAGAGAGAGAGAGAGAGAGAGAGAAAGTGAAAGAGTTAGAAAGAGATGTAACATTAAATAATACAAGTCGAGAGAAGCACGCGTTCTCACTTTGCATATTAATTTAATTAACTTGCGAATCGTAGTTATATATCTCTAGCGGTACTCTATATTTTTGTAATTCTCATTTTAACTTTTCCACAATGTGTGTGTTTTCAAAGTAAGAACACATGTTTCTACATGTCACCCGTAGCTCTTAACGATCCCAAACGCAATCGCGACTTCAACGATTTACCGCGCGTTTCACAGGACTATATCGCTCTTCTTGGCCAGTTTCCGCGTTTGGGCGTCTTATGATGTATCGACGGGACGCTTACGCGTTGGTTAACTTCTAAAAAAAGAACGTCAGAAGAAAAACTAACTTCGCGACTCGCTATACATGCCCAGGTATATCTATCGAGAATTATCGTTGATGACCCGTTGGCTCGATTAGTAAGATAATAAGATCGAGCGCGGTAAAGCGGTCAAGATGATCCGAAACTGTGATCCTCCGACATGCCCCCCCCCCTCCCCCACCGGGAAGTTAATAACATTTCTGTCGCTAAATGCAAGTCGCGCGGAGAGTTGGTCGAAGTATCGCGCGCGCTCGTCCGCCTTACCTCTGTTTTTTCTCCAGCGTGTCTTCCAAACACGTCGACAGCATTGAGCATTTGACAATCGCCGCATTCTTCATGCCATGTTGAATGCACGCCGAGGATTGCCGCCGATACTACTTGGAAGACTAAATCGAGATCTGGTCTATCACACACACTTCTCGCGTGTCATCCCTTACGCAAAAATAAATTATACTTTCCACCTTGCCTTCGTCTTACGGCCTGAACGCCGCACGAACGTCGATTCCTCGCGCGGACTAAAAGTTACCCTGAGAGTGCACTCGCTTTCGTCGTACCCGAGGAAGTCTCTTCTGAAATTTCGACCGGGTGTTTCGTTGGAAGCAGATTTAGCGTCGATCTAGCGATCGGCGCGATCGTCGGTTCGTTCACTCGTTACTCCTGGCTGGAACTCGAGTCTCCGACTAGACTTTATACTCCGAGAGGCTACTTCTTCGGCTGCTCGTTCGCCTCCGACGCGACGGGTTTCTTAAGAACGTCTCTTTCGGGACTGGGGCTGGGACTGGGCGAGGAACTGGGTGATCTTGAGCTGCTGGGGCTGGACCTGGCGCGTTGTTTCCGCTCCAGCTGAGTCTTGTACTCGTGCAAGGGCCCGCGAATGATTTTCAGAGTGGTCTCCAGTTCGTAGGCTCGATCTTTCAGCGCATTGTACAGGTCGAGGTCGAGACCGGCCTTCCGCGCTCTTCTATGAAGCACTATGAGATGACGCCTGTTCAGCACGTCCGGCAGCATGTATTCCTGCGAATGCACAAAATGAGACAGAAGTGGCGTTTATCGTCTCGATAAAAAAAAAAAAAAAAAGAAATGTCACGAGTATTCGTTGTGTTGAAACCGACTTGTTTCGTCACGAGATAATAGATGAACCACGTCATGGTAGTGCCGTAAGTGACGAAGTATGTGACGGGCTCCATTATGTCCCATGAGTACTCCCACCAGGTCAACCTGGCCAAGCCGCCGAATTGAATGGACATCATGACGAGGAACGTCCAGATGAAGAAATTCGCCCTCCTGTAAGCGGCGTTCTCAATGTCTTGCAATTGCTGAAACGCGATCGGAGAAAAATCCAGTCAGTCGATTCGCATCGGGAAATATCTAGAGAGAAGCTGTTTTCCCAGCGACGAGGTATCTCGGTTTAACATGTTCGCCGGGCAGCTTGAGAAATACTCGTAGTTGTAGTACATGTCAAGCGCAGTCGAATAAAATAATGAGAAAACGGGCAAATTGAAAACGCTGCGCGTTTTATCTCGCTTCATTATTTCATAAGGAGAGGGAGAGGAGAGAGAGAGAGAGAGAGAAAGAGAGAAGGAGATGTGATGGAAAAAAGGAAAGAAAAAGAACGCGCATAAGAAGGGAATATTTTATTTTACGGAAACTCTCCTCTCTCGCGCGCGCGTTGCATAACCGCGTTGTACTAACGGCGTTGCGCACAAAGAGGCGGGATTAAAAAAATATTGCTCTTTCCTCTGCCACGTGTGTCTGTATATGTGCGCGCGCACGCACGTTCGCGCGAGTGCACTAATTAGAACGCACGAGAGTAAGGCAATTAAGAAGAGTAGTCGCAAAGTCGTATCCCGTGGGGTAGAGCGAGAGGAGAGCGAGACAATAGAGCTATGTAGGTGTGTACGTGCGCGCGCGTTTAGTGCGATTTACGCGCGCTCGCGATGGGAAGAAGCTAACGCGCTCGCCTCGTTTAATTACCATAAAATCAATTAACAAAAGCAACTGCTACTTCGGAGCGTGTCCTTCTTTATAACGTGTGAGCGCATCAACACGCGTTGCGCAAGCGGTGTGTCGCAATGCGCATCCGAAGCCTACGACTGGAAACCGGCAGCGAAGCTGCACACCGTGAGCCGTGTTTGAGACTCTTTTTTTTACCTGCTCGAGAGGCTCTAACTGCAATCTAACGTCCTCCAGCTCGGCGATGACTGCTCTCTCCATGTCGGCGCTATATTCGCGCACGTGAAACGTTTCGTACAGCTGACTGATGAGCGCCTGCACGTCCGAGAGTTTCTGCAAATTCTCCTGCAAAAGTGAGAGACGCACATTGATATTTCTGAGGTAGAAAGAGAGAGGGAGGGAGAGGGAAGGGGGGAGGGGGAGAGAGAATGCACACAGATGAACCGAAAAGATGATACCGAAGAAGAGGTAATGTCGGTGAAAACGGCGGAAACTACGATCTGTTGAAGTAACGTTATTTTCAATATTCTGCTCGATCGACATCGCCATAAGAGCGTAACGCCGGTGGAAAATTCGTTTTCACGTGATAACTCACTATCGTGCACCTTTCTCGCAACGGTAGCGTGACGATGTATTCGTTATCGTTTATTATTAATTTGAAGTCTTCTTCTAAAAGTGACTCTATCGTGTTACTGGAAGCTATCCTGACACCATCTGGAAAAGAAAAGGACGGTGAATAAATGTTATCTTGCCGCACCTGTCTTATCGCGCGAACACCTGTCTGGCTCGCACAGTGTGTAACAGCGCCCACGATTTAATTTTTAACTCTTGCCGGACGAATGTTTTTACATAATTTCAATTGAAATGTAAAACTTATCGGAGACATGGAACTTATCGAAATGAAAATTATCGATGGACGTGGAAAGGATGGATCTCGTAGAAATTTTAAAGATTTTACAATTTTTAACTTTTAATCTTTTATTAAAATTGCATTTTTATCCGAATTTTCGTTTTTTTTTCAAATCTTTAATTTATTCAATTATAAATTTACAGTTCCCGAATTATTGCATTTCAGCGCTTTGAAGCGGTCGCTGTCACATACTTTGCGTTACTTTGTTTTGTCAGTGATTATAATTTTATAAAGAAATATTTGTCAATAATAATAGTATATAATTGTAATATTAGAAGGACTATATGTAAAAATAAATTTATCAGGTGCAAAAGTTTTACTCCTTTGGTTATATGAAAATAAAGTGGAAACTTGCAAAAAACTTTCTCTAGGTAGGTCCAGGCCAGACGAACGAACACGAATGAACATCTGCGAATAAGTTTGATCTCGTGTCAACACATTAAAGAAAACGTTTCGAAGAAAGTTTTTATTCACACTCATTTTTTGAACTCATTCACGGATGTTCGTTCTTGCTCATTCGTTTGGTCTGGATCTACCTTTAAGCCACAATTTTTCCACAAAAAGTCAGTTGTCAGCATTATTTGGACTCGCGGAAAAATGCATTCCACTTGCCACGAAAATGGATGTGTGTAGGATAGCTAAAAGCACGATTTATGGCGTCTCTCACCCAACGATGTTATGCAGGCACGATCGATGCCGCGATCCTCCGTTTTTAGCATGTCCAACAAATTGCCGACAGTATGTGTGATCGGCTTCATAGTGAACGAGCAATGTTCCTTTCTGGATGGAAGAGGCACCGTAATCCTGGGAAGCCCTCGGTGGTACGCTACAGTGACTTCTGCACCTGCAGTAATACGCATTTGTGCATCTATGTGCTTTTCCCCGGACAATTTGAATATTCGAGCAACATCGAGGGATATTAATTACCACTTGTGTGTGTAGAAAGACCGTTAACATTATAACGCAGTTAGAACGGAACATAACGTTCCGACGCGGCAACGGAAATGTGCGAACACGCGCATTTATAAAAGCACGCGTCGAACATTAGTTACACACTACATATTTGTTTTATTCGCGTCTCATATTATACGTAAATTATGAAGCGAAGACATCTAACGGATTAAGAGAACTGACAATGGAGTAAGATAACGTCTTGTTCGGATATAAGAGAGCGCAACAAGTTCTACGCTGAACTTTGTCCGAGCCGCTCTTTGCTGAATCTGTTCTACCGGTCATCTTCTGACGCATCTTCAATCACTGAAATGTATTTCCAGCATATTTAAAACTGGGAAAGGGGGAAGGATTTGTGGAGCCAGCTAGGTGCATCGTTTCCGCGATTCCGTTCGCGTGATAATCGCGCAATCGAGAGCTAGACTGTATTAACCTGGTTACGAGCCGTTGATATGAGGAAGGTATTAGAGTGTGGAGAACGAAATGAGACGACGGTCAGGGATCTTTCCGCTGTAAGCAGAACGGAACCGAGCCTTAATCCGCTTTGCGCTAACGACCTCTGAAAATGCATCTTTGGACGTACGAGCCATTCTCATCAATTTTCCGAGTTTGTCGCGGAAACCGTTAGGTCGATTGAGAGATAAAAGTACGATGTCAAGTAACTTCTTGCCTTTGGCATTTTCCACAAACACGAGAGACTTTTTAAGTTTTTCTCTTTCGGAAGTTTCTTTCCTTTCAAGTAGTCAAAATCCTGCGATAGATTTATGATTTAGGAATTATATCGAGTGGCCCATTTTAAATGACGCATTGAAATTTCTGAGAGATCTTCTAGAAAACCAAGGCTTTCATTGAAAAATGTCTCGTACAGTTTTGCAGTTTCGAGAAAGATATAAAACGGTGATCTGAACTTTGCCTTAGTTAACAATTCAAGGTCATTTCAAGATCAACTTTATTTTTTTTAACAAAATCATACAACTTTTTTTTTTAACACGAATCGATTCCTCTGTTCCTTCTACGTGTAAAAGTATTAGGATAATCAAAAAGTGAACATTAATTTTTAATACTTAACCCTTAGCTGACACACGGGGTTAAAAGTACCCTAGAGTGTTTTTGAACGCAAATTTTTCATAGCTGCGCGCCAAATTTGGTTCTGTGGCGTCACCTAGTATTAGTCGAGGCTTGACCCAATATTGATAAATAAAACAATTATACACATTTTTTCTGGCTGGGATGTAAAATACCCTCTATAGCACGTACGTTATTATTTTGACGTGTGTCAGCTAAGGGTTAATAGCATTAAAAACAACCGTGCTTTGGCTGTTAAAGATCTGTTACTCTTTCTATCTTTCTCCTTCGGGAATTTCTTTCCTTTCAAACAGTTTTTCTCTTCCGGCAGGCCAAGAGAACTGAATTGACGTGGAGAAAGGTTTCTTTTTAAGGCTTTATTTAGGAGAGGTCAAACAGTTCCCTGGCATTGTTTGATGTTTTGTCCTAACGTATTATAGCACCATGACCATCTGCGTGAGAACTAACAGCCCGCCAGTGGCAGGTCAATTAGTGTTAGAAGCGTGTCAACTGTTGTCGGATTTTGTCTTGGCGGTTATCGGTAACCGCCAAGTGGATTTTTTCGTGGAAAGAAGATTTGAATAAGTAAAAGCATAATAAATTCTTCATACTTCGCTTCAGACGACCGGCTGAAAGGGGATTCAACGCGATCATCGGCTAGCTGACGTTAAGCACATTGCGACAAGCATGGAAATCCGATGCCGCGCGGTAATTGCGTGTTCTTTAAACGAAACAGGCAACGTCCGACAATTAGTACGCCCCCACGCCACACGACACACGATGCACAGCGTTCCGTCCGCATGCATCGGCCGGCAGGCAGGTAGGTTAGCACAGGTGGAAGTGGCAAGAAATCTACCACCACTCGGAGGCCGCCTCCCTTCTTCCATCGTCATGGAAACTCCGCGGTGGTGAAGTTTTCTATGCCGTGGCGCGCAGTCTATTGTAAGATCCTGCTCAATTAATAAGTGACGTGATCGCGCCGCCGAAGCGACGAACGTGCTTGTTCTTTCTTGGGTTTTTCTTATTTCTTCCCTCGATCTTAGGTCACCAGCCCTCGAGTACCTGCCGCGAGACATAGTTTGCGGCTCGGCTTCACCTAAATGCCGGGGATGTACAAGTGACGAGAAATTCGGATGTCATTATACATGGCGTCCTGCAGGACCCTTTTAAGCAGTCGAGTGGCCGTATGGGTTTGTGACTAATTCGTCGAATGATTGATTGAAGGTAAAACCGAAGGTTTTGTAAACATTTGTAACATTTGTCACGTTATTATGAGAAACTCGAGTCATTCGAACAGCACAGAGGTGGATACGTCAACAACTAGTAGTTTGTTGGTTTTTTTTTCTATACCGTGAAGAATTGACATATTTTTTGTCGTACGACTTTTTTGTTATACGTCGTCGACCATTTCCAGGTAAATGCCGTTCGAATGCTTGAGCCACGTTTTGATCTGAGGGACCAAACGTGAAAGTGACTAGACAAAAGAGTGAGAAAAAGAGGGAACAAATGTAATTCGGAAGTTTACATAGTCTCGCTTTCATAGTCTCTCGTGATTGTGGAAAATTCCAAAGGCAAGAAGTTACTTGACATCATACCTTTATCTCTCAGTCGACCTAACCAAACGAGTTTAATTATGTCTTCACTTTACCTCCCTCTTTACCACGAAAGTTTAAAATACCAGGAAACAAATATGTAGCTTCACTCTGCAAGATGTCTAATGAAATATTTTGAAGAGAACATAATGATTACTAGGTTTAACAAAACCTAGTAATCAATCATGTTTAATGAAACATTACATAAGTTACATCGAGGAACGATATAAACGCGAATGGTCAGACGATCGATTTCACCTGTCGTAGTTAATGCAAAAAAATTGGCACGGGCAGCAGCTTGCGCTTGCAAAACTCTAAGAAAGTTCCGCATGCATATTGGCTCTATCCTCTTCGAAACGGCCGTGCAACTTTCGACAGAAATCAAATTGTGAGGAGATTTATACGCGCCGGTGATCGCGCCGAGAAAGTCCCCGAGGTGCTGACACGTGGTGAGGCATTTTATCGTGCCGGACGAAGGAAGACGGTGTTCTCGCGCAATTAATAAGCGCCGTGTACATAGTTAAATTACCCCCTGGGAAATCCAGCTACCTATTTCCGTTGAGAGCACGCCTCGCCATAGTTCTCTCGGGCGAGTGGCCCTGTTACTCGTGTATCACTCATCTCGCGTCTCTCGCCGATAAAGAAGTCCTGGGGAAATGGATCGGGCCGAGGAGTGTCTAACTGACGGCTCGCGTGTAATAACCGCGCTTGATACGCTAAGCATGCTACAGATTCATTCCCTCCCCTGAAGGTTACGTCATACTCTACTTCGTCGGGAGTAGTAATTATAATCAACGGTGCTAATGATAACCTCAATGCCCCGTATGAGTAGCGATTTTCATAAATAATCCAAGCGAGCCTGTCTCCGGCACAATACAGGCCGAATTATATTATACCTATTTATTGTCTCGTAAATTGTATTTTCTGTGGTACAAAAAATGCCGATTCACAATTTCAATTCACAATTCCGCCGGAGACGCTCGTTATCAAATTAGTGGTCTACGCATATCTCGAGATATTAAGTTAGAATTGAAATAAAAGTTAAATTGTATTTTTCGTTTTTCAAATTTAAAGTTCGTTTTTTTCCTTTTACCTTCCTTCGTTCGTTTTTTGATCTTTCTAATTTGTATTCGATTTTTATTTGATTTTCGTTTTAATGGAATTTTCGTTCTGATGGAATATCTAACACGCGGACTTGGAGGCACGTGAGTTTACCGGTTGTTTGCCGCGTTAGTTCAATACAATATACATCGCGCAAAATGAGTGTAACGCCCGCAGCGGAAACAACAGCTGGATTTTTCGTGAGCGAACGCGCTCCATGAATCCAGGTGCATTCTAGAGTGCATGGAGAATTTATGGACTTTGGGCTACTTCGTAGAAGTAGGCACACGTGCAGCGCGATCGCCCGGCTAAATATATTGCATCGCCCCATCACATCCAGGTAGATCGTACACGATCTCGCGTGACGCGAGAGCGACAGGTTAAAATATTTCGAGTTGCAGGGAGTAATGTTTCATAAAGAAAAAACACGCGCATCAAATATTTGCTCCGTATGTTTTCATCCTTTTTGTTTGTACGTTTGCTTTTAACGCGATGAATCGTACTGTAATTAAACGAGATGTAAAACGTCTCCTCATTGTTTCAACGGAGGCTGGTTGTATTGAGCGAGCATCAACTAGAATTTTCACGAGAAGGCGGCAGCTTCGCCTCCGTGAAATAACGAATACAATAATCAGCCTTGGCCTGTAAATTTATAATTGCATTGATAATCGTTAGGTCTACACCAGACGGTCAGACCTTTTCCGGATAAAAATAACGTTGGAACACCTCTCGGTTCGCAATGGATAAACGTGGCTCTCGCTGTCCGCGTTCTTATAACGTCTCTGCATCGATCTCGCTCTCGAGGAAGCTAAGATCGTGACATCTTGTGGCAGCTCTCGGTATTAGGGACAGGCCGGTTGAAATTTGCGCGCATATAACGTATATACGATAGCTGTGATTTATGAGTGCGGATCGCGCGTTTTATTTATGCTTCGAGCTCTTGACCGTAAAAGAATAAAAAGCCTTATTTTCGCACTCTACTTTCAACACGGGATGCATACAAACACGTACACGCCGCGCGTATCTCATCACCTCAACGAAATTTCGTGTAGCGGCTATTGCTCAGTCTCCTGGGGAAAATTGGATAATTCGATGAGTACACTGCGCCGTTAAACGCCGAGTTCGAAATTTGTTGACAACAAGGTTGTGCCTTTAAACGCCCACCTTTCACATTGTTACGTACACGATGTGGAACGTTATTACGTCGCTAAACAGCGTAGAAAAAGAATCGAGCTACATCATTGTTTCGATGACGTGCCGCTTTGTTCGAGTAATACAGCGGTGTTCGTGTATGATCATTCCCTAGACCGAAAGTTACATGATTTTCAGCCTTATATATAACGAATAAGGTTACTCTAGTTATAATGGCTCTAATTATAATAGTTTCAGATTTATATGTATATATATATATTATATATGAAAGGCTAAAAATCACGTAATAGGAAAAAGTTTCAATTTAAAGGGATGGTACACCATGCGCGGAGAAAAAAAACTTTGAATTTACCAGGCAGTGAACAAACTAAACACATTTTAGCTGAAAGAAACGGAATTTCTCATTCTTATGACCGGTTATTATGATCGGTTCTTATAACCAGAAATTCCGTTTCCAAAATACATTTAGTTCGTTCACCTGGTAAATTCAACCGAACTTTTTTTTCCGTACATAACTCTGACTATACACACGCGTGTATATGGTCAGTTACAAAAAGGTTGCAATACGTTTTTTTCATCAATTTTGCAACATATTCCGTGTCCAATAGGAAAATTTATTTTTTAACAATTCGCAAAAGGTACATTTTTTTTGGATACGAAATGCGTTGTGAAACTCCCCCCCCCCCCCAAAAAAAAGCGGTGCAAATCTTTTCTGACTGATCATATTGTCAAAACATTGAACACGCGCATTATCTACGCGTTCTCGCCTAGTAAATACATTTTTGCAATGAAATTTTTGTATCTAACACGGGGAATGTGTCAAAAAGTACATAAATATAATTAAATTAACCTATTTACCGTGCTAAGGTAACACAAAATTTCAGTGAACCGTTCTCGACACAAAATTTTTTACTGTATATAAGTGTATAACGTTGTATGTAAACGTCGCATGAAACTGAAATTATTATATAAATAATAAATAATTACTAGATATGATATATACTTTATTTATGCAATGTTTATGATGCAATAGAAGTGTTCAAAATTTCTAAACGCCTCATAGTCCGGTCTACCACGGAAGAAAACTATAAGAATATAAAAAAATTACTAGTATATTATCGAAGAGCAATAGTTTTTCAATAGCATACCAGTAATTTTTTCGTATTCTCGTAGTTATTTCCCATACGGGTATAAAAGAGCCGCTACTACCCACACATCTTATCTCTTCCTACGTCTGTCAACACGGTTTCGATTCCACGCTCCTTTTGGTACCATACGTCGATGAAAATAACGAGGAGGGTCGCCTCCGCTTTATCGTTCACGACAGGATAGAAAAAAATTGCCGACCTGACTGGTTGTTCGCGGGCGCCGCGCCGTAAACTCCCGTAGAGGTCTCGACGTAAATTAGCGACAGAGATTCGATTAATCAGGCCGTAAGAACAAGCTCGCGTATATATTTATTCCGTGGTAATTGCAGCTCTGAATCTTTTATAGGGAAAGTTTTCTTACTGCGCGAGTGGCCGCCGCTCTCTTGTTGCAATTCTGAATGTATCATGAATAATATCGCGCTTTTTGCACGGTCGCGCGCACATCGACCCGCGAAACTTCTATTACCGCTCATCATCACGGCTGCGGACAGATCCGACGACCGGTATCAAGCCGGATCGGACGACGTGTTCATCGTGGGCTTTCACTCGGCTGTGTTTGACAGGTGATCGTTGGTCGTTAAATCGAGCATGTATGCATTTAGACTGAAAATAAACAATCGATCGCATATGAATAAAGGATAATTGTTACTGTTGGTTCGCGTGGCCGCTGCAATGAAATCAGCTTCGTGTACTGCGCGAAACTTATTGTTTTAAAAACACCTCGCTCTCGGATAGAGAAATATGCGGCCCGTCGAGAAGTCGTGCATCACCGCAGTTTCTCCTTAGATCTTCCTCTTTTTCTCTCTCCTTTTCCCCCCCTCTCTCTCTCTCTCTCCCCCCCTTTCTCTCTCTCACTCTTTCTTTCTTTCTTCCTCGCGCTCATGAAAGTCCATGAAATATTTAGGAATGAAATATCGTGTCACGTGCACGACGTCGCACCGTCATTAAATCGTGAATTTGTATCATCAGGTCTCCGCGAGGTCGGCCATGGGCGGCGTGCAAAGCGGAACTCATAATCTTGGCGAGGCGTTATGGGTGCAGGAGCGGCAGCGGCAGAAGTGCCATCGGTGAGTAGCAGACTTCTTAACCGTTTGAATGCCACGCGTCTCTGCTGTTTCCCCGTCCAAACGTGCCAAGGAGCGCTTTTTCGCTTGTCTTATTCCCCATCCAGAAATGCCAAACGGCGCGATAGCGCTTGTCTTATTCTCCAATGATTGCATCCAAATGTTAGATTGCAATTAAAATTCGTTCTTTTATCAGTTGTCTCATTATTTCATTTTTACCTAAAACGGAATGGTAGCCGTAAAGTCGCGCATCGCCAGAAGCCGAGCGTGTGCCGGTTATCGGCTCCGCAGCCTAGAACGCTGGTACTTTTCGAGCGAAACGGAAGAAGCGCAAAATTGTTCCTTGGCACTCAAACGGTTGATAATACATGGAAAGCGCGCGACACATAGCATTTCATATGCGCGAGACGGCCGATCGATACGCGAGACAATTTCCGATACCGCCCGAAAACGTTAACGCTTTATCTCGCGACGCCGCTCTTGGAAGCAACGCGAATCTCATCAGCATGGTTGGATAACTGAAGATTGCAACATTTTCCTTCATCGAGTTTCGCAATTCAGCGCAGAAGCGCGCAAAAAACGTCTCAAGAACGTCTTAGGACGAAAAGGACAGCTAAGAGGCTAAGAGCGTTTGAAAAAGCAATATACTTTTTCTAGACTTTTTAAAAATGTTTTTTAGTATACTCTTTTAAAAGTTGCGCCGCTATCTAGAAACGTGATCCGTATCCAATTTTTGGAGAATATTGGATCCAATATTGGTGAGCTTGTTTTTTAGTAATTTTCAGAAGGTGCATGTCCCTTTTTTTACCGTATCTTCCACTAGGTTACTCGATCTTTACTAATTGGAAACCTATTTCGTGTTCAATGTATGAATTTTTTTAGATATTTCTAGAAGATATACGTTTCTTTTTTTACTGCACCTAATTCTGTGCGAAACAAAACAAAATCCATACTCTAACGACGTACAATTAATAATAAAGAAAGAAGAAAGTATAAACAGGAAAGTAACAGTTAAACTCTGATGTTAAAGCTGATATAAACAATTATTTTCTAATTCCTTATACAAACATACGAGCAACAGAAAATGATATAGAATTAAACGTTTCGGGCTATTTTCAGTAATAATTACAGAATTTAAGTAAGTAAACGCACATGTCCATTCGTATAGCCAGCAGAGATGTCAAAAAGAAATAAAAAGCCCGTTCTGTACATATCAATCGCGTCAATAAATCCAGTCAAAAGTGTTATTTACTTGACACTTAGCACTTTCTGGGCACTGATTCAACGGCCGATGGAAAACATCATTGAATTCCGCGCTGTAAGGCACAGTTAATTACTCGCTGCTTCTCCGATCTCGCTGAGTAATCTCGAAGAGCGATGAAGACGCCTTAAATGGCACCGCGGCCACGGCGAGAGCGTTTCTCCAGCCAAGCCGACGCCTGACTAATTATTCAAGCGTCAGAAAGTTCGAGTAATTACGGGATGATCCTTCGCGAAAGTCGCGGAATTAAGTCCCGGTCTCGATTCGGCCGCATTCAGTGAAATTTCTTTCGCAGTCGCGATAATTACACGGTCGCGCGGTTGTTCGTGCGGCGTCGCGATACACTCGGCACGCAGGTGAGAGAGACGTGGTTTTCTTTCGAGCTGAGTCTCCTCCGTCTTTCTCGCAGAAACCGAAATAAAACAGGCTACCGGGACAAGGTTACCGTGAATATTTTAAAAGTCGAGATCTCCGGGCAATTTTTCGCTCGCGGTCTACCTCGCCCCGCAAACGTCAGCTATTCGCTTTGATAATCGCGAGTACCGTTTATCTCGCGGGCTCCCGAGACGATGCGTCGCGATTAGTAGCGGTTAATAGTTAATTACTGCCGTATATTGCTACGGTCAGGCAACGCTTATTAACACAGTTATGGTCTAATTACGCGACTTAGTCCATGTTCGCGCCAAGTCGCGGCCAGAAAACGCAGTCTGCGCGAGCAGCCGTTTTATTTCGAGAGCGCGAAGAGGCAACTTTTTTATTTCTCTGCTGTTCTTTTTTATGAACGCATACACGAGTGAAAATTTCGCAATATCATCCTGTTACACGTAATATTCGTCGATTGTTCTGCGAGAGCCCTTCTAGTTAAATCGTATTGCAAAATTCCAATGTGTGAGCGCATAATCCGGGAAATCAAACAAGCACGTCCGACACTGATAGAAAATTATAGTTATTTCTTCGATGCTAAACATATCTTTTTTTTTTATTTTAACCGCAAAAATAGTCAAGAAAATCACTTTTCTAGTAAGTGTTACTACACGGAGAAAAAGATTGGATTTAATAACATTTCTTGAATCGAAATAAATTTGTCTTTTGGAAGGGAACAAACAATGTTGACGCAACAAACAGAATCGTTTCGTTTTTCAAATAATGAATATCTTTACGTCAAATAACATATTCCTTTTGTATTTTCACCCAAACATTATAATAGTTGTCAAACAATAAATTATTTGAAAAAAGTAACACTGTGTTATAAAGATATTAAAGAATTTCTCTGTTTGAATGGAACAATATTTTATATATGTAACGAAATAAATTTTTTTATAGAAAACCAAATATTATTTCTTCTAAATAATACTGTTTTCTTTATTAAACAATATAGCTTACTATAAAATAAAACAACAATATTTGTATTCAAACAAAGTGACATTTAATATTAAATTATATTGCTTATATAAATAAACCCAAGTCAAACACGTATATTAAATCCAAAGAAACCTTTTCCTCTATGTAGTGTCAATGACAGTAACCTTACGTGTTCGTTGCTATTATTATGAAATATGTTTGGCGCCAGAAAAATAATTCTATAATTTCCTATCAGTGTATCCCACTTATTATTGTTGGCTCGATGTAACTTGTAAAGAAGGATTCACACTGTGCCAGGCATCCACATATAAGAGAATCTGTTTTCCGGAGAGGAAATCCTCCATTTCAGTTTCCAACTGACACAGAGCCGCTATATCTTCGCCCCGAACGACAATTTCCGAACGTGTTTCGGTCATTTCGCCACGATGAATCGTGCAAATTCGGGCGCAGCGCGGCTCAGTACCTCCGGCGACAAAATCCATTTCCCGAAGCTAAATCCACCCGGGTGTCTCCCAAGTCAAATTCAAACATCAGTTGCACTTTCAGATCGCCGTATTTACGCGGCGCGGAATTAGGTTTCCGTTAATTAAGGAGCGAGTTAACACGCGACGTATACGACGTACGGATCGATGTAGTCGCGACGTTGCGTCGCGCAAACTGCGTTCTGCACGATTATGTTGTAATCCCGACGAATACACATCGGTATGTCAGTGTTGTCGTCGGTATCATCATCGCCGTCACTGCGACTATTTGCAGCGTTGAATATACTTCCGGATGAATATGCCCGCGTAATATCGGGAAATTATTATTAACGAGGACGCCGCTCTATTACGACGCATTCTATTTCGCGGCACATCGAATCGCGCAATAGTTGCGATAATTAATTTCGAGGCGATATTACCGTTTAATAGACGATCGAAGCGGCCAGGATGTGAATCGTCGTAGCGGGATCGTACGCGATTTCGGATGGAAAAGGAGAAAAAAACTCGCACGATACCGGAGAGTATCGCTAATTAGCGCAAAACCCGCACGGCATTGCGTTGTAACGTGATCGTAGTAGCGGAACGCCGGATATCCGTCTGCGCGTCCGAATGTCTCTTTTTCTTTCTCCTTTCTCTGTCTCTCTCTCTCTCTTTCTCTCTCCCCGTTTCTCCCACAACACGCACGCAACCTGTGTCGTACAGACAAAGGGCTTTAACAAACCACGTGTGTCTCCTGTACATCGAAAATCACTGGTCGGGAGGGTCGACGACGAAAGCGAAGCGTCAGTGCGAAGTGCCGCGACGAGCCGGTCGCTGGAAAAGTGGCGAACGCGAACGCGACGCGATGTACGTCGTCAAGATCGTCTATTGCCAGGTGACGATGGAGTTCGTCGACCGCGATCTCGGGACGTCGAGGTAGATTATGATTGATCGAAATGTTCGCACTGAAGAGAATGCCGTATATGCGGGAAACGGTGACACTTCCCTGTCGATTTCACGAAAATATCATGAGAATCTCGTTGATCTCTTTTATCCAACTTTGTTCGTTTTAATCTTGGCAACTCCCGCGGCAAATCTCGTTGAAATTTCGTTGAAACGCGTAAATGGACACGTAAACGGACACGAGGAATCCTCGAGGGTGAAACAATGCAACCGATATTCTCCTCGTTACGGCCTTCTCGGCGGTGGACTCTGCAGTTTTATTACACACGTTACGTCACCGTATCCTCAACGATATTTCAGCCTGCCAAATTAATGGATTATCTTGAATTAATGGTCTACCGCGTGAAATATGCGGAATCATTTCTTCACGGTTGTGGGCTTTGGTAATTTATAACCGTGCCGAATTACAAACTGCATTCCGTGCATTTTCTGTGGGTTAACTTCTCGCGCCGAACGCATCATTAGGCTGTTCGCGTTGCATGGAACGATTACGAAAAAAAGCCGTCATAGATACTTCTCACTTAATTTTTATGTGGAATTGCCGACCTTTCTAATTATTCTATTATTCGAGCGGTGAATTTTTTCGAATTACTACTTGGAAAACATGCCGATAATTTTTTTTTTTATTCCTTTATTATAACAATTTCTCATTTTACACCATATGTAATAATGGATTCTCTCGCTAACGTAACATGACATTATTATTCTTATTATTTATAATCATTTTTAACTTTTAATATAAATTTTTATATTATCCTTTTTTTATTTTTCAAAATTATGTATTGAGTGTCTATTTGTAATCGTTGTTACCGAAGGGAACCTTCCCGTAAATAAATAACAACAACAATAATGGTGATAATTATTGTTATTGTTATATTTTCATTGTTTCGAACTCAACGATTTCATATTTATGGGGCGTGATGAGCGATGGCGGTGAGTCGAGGAAGTCCGATTAC